CCCGATGCGGGACTCGATCCCAGGACCCTGGGATCATGACCTGAGCCGAAGGCAGACGCTTAACGACTGAGCCACCCAGGCGCCCAAAATTGCCCTATTTTTAAAAAAGATTTAGTTAAGAGAGAGGGAGAGAGCGCAAGAGGAAGGAGAGGGAGAAGGAGAGAAGTAGACTGCCCTCTGAGCGGGAAGCAAGTTGCTGGGGCTCCAACCCAGGACCCTGAGATCATGACCTGAGCCCAAACCAAGAGTCTGCTGCTTAACCCACTGAGCCACCCAGGTGCCCCACCCCCCAATCGCCGTGTTTCTAGAAGACTTATTTTGGAAAATGTCAAACATATACAAAAGTATAGAAAATACTACAATGCACTCTCAAGTATATATGACCAACCTTCAATAATGTTTAACTCCTAAGAATCACCTATTTTAGAGAAGGTAGGAGAAAGTGGGAAGACTTAGAACTCTGGAAATGGAATGTATTGGTTGAAAGCCCAGCTCTACCAATGAGTAGATATGTGAACTTGGGCATGTTACTTCATTGCAGTAAAGCTCCCTTACCAGTAAAATGGGAAGGTAAATGTACCTCCTTAATTAACTGAATTAATGTATGTGAAGTACTAAGTGCCCAGTATATGGTTGCCCTCAGTAAGTTACCTATTATTGTCATTCTTTTAACCTCAGAGAGCCTTGTGTGCTTGTCACTCTCCTTAAGCTCCACCTCTCTTCAATAGTGCTTATGTCTAATTCCACTTAAGCAACTTTTGGAGTAACGAGCAGGGGGAAAAGATTGACTTTCTGGCCTGGCTCATAAAGAAGGGAAAGAAGCAGTTTGGGATTGGAAGGTAAGTGGTAGCATTGTTGTTTCTGTGTGTGGTCTTAATTTACAGTCTAATTGAGCTTTTTCTTTGGGGCTGCAAATATACTTTGTGAGTTGTAGGATTACATATGATGTACACAAGAAATATTGGGTGTGTCTGCCAGAGAAAACTGAAGACTTTTGAAATTACTGTGATGCCATTATGAATTTACTCCACAAACTTGGTTGTGTAACAAATATCTTAGGACTTTGTATTTATTTATTTTTAAAGATTTTATTTATTTATTTATTTGAAAGAGAGAAGGGGTGGGTAGAGAGCGAGCTCGTGGAGGAAGGAGCTGAGGGAAAGGGACAAGTAAGACTGTAAGCTGAGTGCAGAGCCCCGCCCCGGGGCTCAATCTCAGGACCTGGAGATCATCATGACCAGAGCCGAAATCAAGAGTCAGACGCTTAACCAACTGTGCCACCCAGGTGTGCCCGACTTTATATTTAATAACAAAATTAAATCTTTGTTCCCATGTTTATACTAGTGAGAAATTAAATCTTTGTCATTATTGACTGCCTTATGTACAGAATTGTGGGAATGTCCTAGATTCTTAGGTGGAACAGAACATTTGGGGAAAGGCAATGTGTCATTGTACCAGAATATATTGTGCAAAGCCCTGTGGTCCTGGTAGCGGCTCCAAGATTCCTGGGACATCTTTAGTAGGGGTTTCTTTGTCAAATTCTTGAGCTTCTCTAGGTGTATCTGATGTCCTGGTCCCTCCCCCAGGGTATTGGAGGGAGCCCACAGGATCCACAGACCTCCAATTTCTTTCCAGTCTGAGAGGAATTTCTTCTCTCTTCTGTGCTTCTATCCTTGTTATCTTACTCTCAAAAACACTTGCCTTTCTTACTCCTTCTTGATGACATAGCAAGGATTAATTAATAAAGGATTTAATTCATTTGACATTTTGTTATCAACGTAGCAAGCAGGATGTTCTTGTAAAATATTGTCCTTCTAAGAAGGAAGTCGGGCCTCTCTGTTGCAATGAGTCAGGGAATTTATATTGCAGTTTCAAAAACTGGCCCATACTGTGTGGGGCCAACCTCATCTATGGCCATTTTTCCTGACCTTATAGAAGCCTAAAGTACTTACTACCTAAAGTAACCCAGCCTTCCATTAATCTCTGTCATAGTGCCATTTATTTATTTATTTTTAAAGATTTTATTTATTTGACAAGAGAGAGACAGCACAAGTAGGGAGAGCAGCAGGCTCCCAGCTGAGCAGGGAGATGGATGCGGGGCTGGATCCTAGGATCCTGAGATCATGACCCTCGGGGAAGGCAGATGCTTAACGAACCGAGCCACCCAGGTGCCCCTGTCATAGTACCCTTTAAATTTGTTTCATAGCATTTAATAAATTCTTAAATTGTTCTTTTGTTGTATTTTTTTCTCCCCAACCCGGAACACCTTGTTTATTGCTCTATTGCTATCTCCTGAAGCAGATTAGGAATACTAATTTACTGTAACTATATAATTTTAACTATAATAATTTTTGAACAGGTATATTTAAAAGGGCACAAAGGTTTACAGTGAATGGTCTTCCTCCCACGACATGTTCCAGAAACCTAGCTCCCGTTCTAGGAAATAATTTACCAGTTTCTTCACACCTGAATTTGTAATTTATGTTCTACTCAATTTAGAATTTCTAACTTCTGGGGGTGTGCTGGTGAACAGGCACTACTATACAAGACCTTTTTTTTTTTTTAAGTTTTTATTATTATTTTTTTTTAGTAATCTCTACCCGCAATGTGGGGCTCAAACTCCCGACCCCAAGATCGAGAGTCCCACGCTTTTCTGATTGAGCCAGTTAGGTACCCCATGATTTTAATAGTCTCCTAAAGATTTGGGCTGAAGGACTTGACTACCTCCTTCCCCTCCTTTCAGTAACTCCTAAGGATTCCTGATGAGGGGGGAGCGGTTCACCGTGCGTCCCAATTTCCGGTTCACAGGTAACTCTATAGTTTGACAGTTACCATGGCTCCGGGAGATGTGCGTCTTACGTTCTTCCGCGGCGCTGGCTGATGGCGTAATCAGTTCCGGCGCCCTCCCTATGAGGGCGGGGAAGCAAGGTACTGGGGGAAACTTAGCTATTAGTGTAGCAGGGTCATGAAGAAGAGGCGGCGGCGGGAAGAAGGAGGAGGCGGCGGGGGTGAGAAACTGCGGTAGCTGTCCGCTGGCCTGTTGGCGTGGCTGTGTGGAAAGGGCGTAGTTCTTAATCCCTTCTCCGGGCAGCGGCCGGGGCTCGGGGCTGAGAGCGGCCGTGGGGCCGCCTCCCCGGGCCCCCTGGCTCCGCCATGTTCCGCAGGGCACGCCTTAGCGTGAAGCCGAATGTCAGGCCTGGTGTAGGCGCCAGGGGTTCAACCGCTCCCAACCCCCAACGTGGACAAGAGGCTCCGAGGCCCCAGGATCCTGCAGCGGCCTCTTCCCCGAAGCCAGCGGAGTCTACAGATGTGCCCTTGGTGGACTGCGGGGGATCCGAGCCCCAAGAAAAGGCTCCCAGGAGCAGGTAAGTGCATGCAGAGGGGAGCATTTTCATCTGCCCTGCCTCTCTGGGCCTGTCACTTGGAAGCTGACGAGATGAATTTACCATAGGAATCCTCCGTCGCCTGCATTAAGCCTTAGAGTTGGGGCCCTATGAACCTACTCTCATCTGCAATTTGTCGCTCTGTCCACAAGGTGTGGCAAATGTGGATTTTGTTAAGGTTTGTAGATTCTCGGGGTGGGGACCGTGTCTTCAAGATGTGGTGGGAAGAATCCACATGTAACAGTTTTGAAGTGAAAAACATCCACACGTGGTAATGGCCATTAGCTTAGATTACTTTACTGTAATTTTTATTCTTCCGGAGTACTTTGAGGAGGGTAAGTAGTTTTTAAAATTTTTAAAACATTCATTTATTCTTAGAAGACCAATGTTACTTTGGTTCTGCTGCTTCGAGTCAGTGGAAAGGAGATGTGGTTACTTGCTTTGATTTGATGGCATGCCCCTTTATAGTGGCCATGTTTTCTGAAGGGAAGAGCATGTGCCAGTACCACATTTGGATTCAGGATTTTTTTCTTAATTTAGCAATTTATTAGACTTGGCCAGGCAGAATTTACTTACTGTAAAATGGAGATAATATTACATGCTTTGGAGAGTTATTGTGGAGTTTAGAAAAAACTGACATAAACTGTCTTGCATAGGACATGATAGAATAGTTGCCTACAAAAAGTTATTTGTTTAAAATAAATGCAATGGTAGTAATTAACAAAGTAATTAAAGTTAAGACATGTTGGTCTACTAATAACCTCTGTTTCTGTAATATGAATGTGAGGAAAGCAATTAAACCCGACCCTATTAAATAACAATGAGATGGTATAAGTTCTCTGTATGCTCTGACAGGAAGGTGAAAATTTTATCCCTTTCTTTTTGGCCAAACTTTGTTGGCCTATACTGGTGCTCGGTATAGGGTGTTATTTTGCCAGCTTAGTGATGCTTAGTAATCTCCAAGTCTCTTATATGAATACTTTTTCAAAATTTCTCATAAAAAGAGAAATACAAATATCAGTCACTGTTAATAAAGTTTGCCCAGATCCTGTTAACTACATATAAGTGCGTGCTGTTTGATAATTTAATAAATTACTCAGGTTCTGTAGTCTTGAGACATTTGAGGTTGAGGATATTTGGTTTCTTAGAGTTGGCACTTAGGGAGTATATTTGTTTTTTTTACCTTCCGTTTTTCTTTTTTATGGGTTTTTGTAGTTGTAAAACATAGGACGTATGTTTTGTCCTTATGGTTTCAACATAATTGGGTGAAATGCACATGGTGCATGTATCATGTTATAAAGGCTGAGATAAGAATTTAAATTGGAGATTTCTTTGGGTGCCTGGCTGACTTAGTTGGAAGAGCATGCAAGTCTTGATCTTGGGGTTGTTTGGGCCCTACACTGAGTGCAGAGATTACTAAAAAATAATAAACTTCAAAAAAAAATGGAGATTTCTTGGAAAGGTTATTCTATAGGTCTAGGCGTTTTCCACTTTTTTTTTTTTTAAAGATTTTATTTGAGAGAGAGAGAATGAGAGATAGAGAGCACGAGAGGGAAGAGGGTCAGAGGGAGAAGCAGACTCCCCGCTGAGCAGGGAGCCCGATGTGGGACTCAATCCCCGGACTCCAGGATCATGACCTGAGCCGAAGGCAGTCGCTTAACCAACTGAGCCACCCAGGCGCCCGGCGTTTTCCACTTTTTAAAAAAAATTTTTATTTGTCAGAGAGAGAGAGAGAGGGTGCACAAGTAGGGGGAGCAGCAAGCAGAGAGAGAAGCAGGCTCCCCGCTGAGCAGGGAGCCTGATGCAGGACTCCATCCCAGGACCCTGGGATCATGACCTGAGCCAAGGCAGACGCTTAACCGACTGAGTCACCCAGGTGCCCTGACTGCTTTTAATTCTTATACTCTCTGTCTTCTTGACTTAATTTGCTTTCAGGCCATTCCTGATATATGTATATCCAATCTGAGCTATACCTAATATGTAATTTGGAGTGACTGAATACTTTTGTTGAGTGAGGAGTTTGATAGCTGTGTAACTAGTTACCAACAAAAGATAAATGACTTCTGGGGCGCCTGGGTGGCTCAGTCGTCATGATCCCAGGGTCCTGGGATCGAGCCCCACATCGGGCTCCCTGCTCAGTGGGGAGCCTGCTTCTCCCTCTCCCACTCCCCTGCTTGTGTTCCCTCTCTCGCCGTGTCTCTCCCTGTAAAATAGATAAATAAAATCTTTAAAAAAAAAAAGATAAATGACTTCTGCCTCAGACAATATTTGGTTTGATTAATGTAGCTAAATGTATATTCTCAAATACTGCAGTAGAGATATTTTAGAAGTTTGAAGTTTTGTATGTTTGGTTTGACTGATCTCAGGTTGATAGAGTAAAAATTTCAGTAATATAGATCAGTTCAGGGGGATGTCAATATAGATTATAAAGAAAAACAGTTGTCCGTGGCTCAAAATAGGGTAATTAAGCTTTAATTTCTAACTTGGCCTTTTGTTTTCCTTAAAAGAGTTAGCATGAGCATGAAATAATATGTTCTATTGCCGTAAGGGACTTGAAGTTTAGAAGAAAACAACCTTTTTTTAGAATTTATATATCTGTTAAAAACATTTACTAAATAAAATTTTTATTGCAGTTTCTGTCATGATTAATGTATATTTCGAGTTATTGATTTTTTTTTTAATAATGAGATTCTACTGTTCTAGATTTTCACCAGGCTAGTTTTTTGAAACTAGAATATGAAAGATCCATGGTGCCCCCTTTTTTTTCTTTTTTTAAAATTTCAACAGTGATGAAAAGACTGACAGTGAGAATTATGTTGAAGAATCCAGTAAATCTTCCTCTACTGTTTCACAGAGAAGAAAGAGAATATCAAGTACTCCTACTCTGGTTAAGCCTGGTGTCAATGTTCCTTCAGAATCTCATCCCTTATCTACAGTTAATCAAGAAGTTCCACAGCCAAACCCTGTTTCAACAAAAGAGAAACAGCCATGTTCAGACAGATACCGATTATATAAAGCCCAGAAACTAAGAGAAATGTTAAAAGAAGAATTAAGAAAAGAGAAGGTAAGGGAGACAGAAATCACATTTTGACTGGTCCCTGCTAGAATTCTGTTTTTATGTTAATAAGGCATCATTTGGAGTAAAAATATCTATAGCATTTAATGGAGCATAATCAATATCCTTTTTGTTTTTGTTTTTATTATTAACATATATTATTTGTTTCAGGGTATAGGTAGGTCTGTAATTGAATAGTCAATATCCCTTTTGTTAACTGATTAATAAGCCCAATGGACTTAATAAGCTTTTTTCCCCACTATGTTAATTTTTATATATTCATCTATATCTTTCATTGTTTTTGGTGAAGGCCACAAATAGAAATTCTGTACGTATACATACATAGAAAAATATACAAAGCATATTTATAAAATAAGCCTTCAATCTGATTTTTCATGATGTCCAAGTGACATGAGTTACATTTATTTGAATTAAGACAAGTATACTTGAGCAAAATGAATTGATAATATTTTCTAAGTTGACAATATGGAAATTATAAATGGGAAAAATATGCTTGTATGTGTATAGTAGAGTCCATCTTTTTTTTTTTTTTGGTCCATCTTCTTTTTAATCTTGAAGATTGATTATTTTTCCAAGAGGGCACTGTACCAATAGTGAAGCATGTAAATCTGCAGTTAGATACTTAAGATTTGAATCTTGGGAGTAATTCCTTACTATGTGACCTTGCACAATTTAATTAATTTTTCTGTGTCCTCATCTGCAAAATAAGACTGATGATAGTACGTATCTCATTGGAGGGTTGTAAAGATCGGATGAGTTTATACATGTAAAACACATGTAGACTAGTGTCTGGCAAATGCATGTCAGCTCTTATTTTTAATTACAAAATGCCCTTTTTAATTAAGAGGAAGGCACTTAACATTGTGCTTTATATTTGTTATTTAATTCTATCACATTTGTGAAGTAGATAACACTATTTTACACAGACAGAAAAGGCTTATAGAGGTTACTTGCTTTGTGTCAAACATCAGTGGGATTTGAATCTATATCCTCTAAAATTGAAGTATTTCAAAATGTTCTATGTTTATTGAATCTGCTTAGGTAAATTTATTCTGCGGAATTAAAAAATTAAACATTTGCTTCAAGAATTTTATAAAATTCACAAATCTAGTTCACTACAGGGTAAACAAAAGCTGTATGTTTATAAATTCTTAGTAAACTCTTGTCGTTAGAAGACATTTGTAAGATTTATACATTGAGCTTTTGTCCAGTCCTAGACACTTTAGTTTTTAAGGTTCCTTGTTGTGCTACAACTTTTTAATATTCACTTTAGAAAATTTTTCCTTAAATTAGGAATAATTGTGGTAGGAATAATATTAAATCACTTGGAATGAATGCAACAGTGAGCTATACCTTGGTGTATAGAACATTTGAAATTCTTCTGTATTTGAAAAATAAAAGTGGATCTTTGTGTGTGTTTGTGTGTCTAGAAGCAATGGAAAAACAAATATGCCATAAATGAAAGTCAGAAGCCACCAGATCGTTCAAAAATGACTATGAGAGATTTCATATATTACCTGCCAGATAACAATCCAATGACGTAAGTAAACTTTACTTTTTTCCTTTCTTTGAGTATGTAGTGCTTTAAGTATCACTTTTAGAGTAGAGGTTCAATGTTTTCCAAAAGCATGTTGACAAAATTTATAGCACATACGATGTTCTTTTAGAGAGAATTTTTTAACAAAATTTAGTGGTGTTTCAGGTTACTGCTTTCTTGGGATGGTATCCTTTACCTGTGAAATTAAAAAGTAAGTTTCTTTTGTTATATTACTAAGTTGTTGTAAAACCAACTAAACAATTTTTCTCTAATCAGTATTACAGATTCTCTTTCTTGTACACTATAACCTGATTCTAAAAGAATGGTCTAATTTTTATGCCCTACCTCCTAATTAAATATAGTGGCATTTGATTAATAAATCCTCCAAGAACAAAGCTTCTTTAATCAAAGTTAGCCTGGAGAAGCAGACAGTTTATAATAAATTTCAGTGTTATGTTCTTCATGGTTTAGCAGGTGGATGTAGGAATAATAGTGGCATGTTTTCAGTATAGTCTTTTTCAGGTTGGCCTTTTGAAGGAAGGGCCAAAAACCTAGGTTTTGCGTTACCTGACATAGAGAAAAGCCATGTGTAGGTTGCTTTAGGCCTCAGGACTGAGAGAGTCTCCCTTCACTAAGGAATTAGAGAGTAAAAACATTCCGTAGTTAGGGTGTAGCAAATTATTTATACTTGATGACAGAATTTTTGACTGAGAAATTGACTCTTGGACCACACACTGTCATTAATAATGATGTTATGGTGTATAATTTAAAAAAAAAGCAAGTTAAAATAATTTCTTTCTTGCTGATGGATAGAAGAGACATGTGCAAATTACTTAAAAGTATTTTTTATATTAAATATTAAATCTTTTTACATATTTAAAAACAAATGTTATTTATTTGTTAGTTCTTCACTGGAGCAAGAAAAGAAAACTGAAAAATCATTGACACCAGTCCAGACAAGAGAGTAAGCATTTCTTACAGTTTTCCTTAAATAAATTCTTTGGTGGGTAGAGTTTTTAAAAAATGAAATCAAATAATGTTTTTTGTTACAGTCAAGTTACATGTGATAGGAATGTTTAAATAGAGTAACAAGAATAAAAGCTAATGCCTGATTTAAATCAAAATGAAAGGTCCACACTGTTTATGTATTATATATGGAAATGGCCAGTGGTATGATTTCGGTTAAAGCTTTTAGAATTAAAAAGGAATTTGTTTTGTTTTAGAATAATAATGTAATACAATGGTATAAAAACCACATGGAACAAAAGTATACTGAGGAAAGTGTTCCAGATCTGTTTTTCTGTCATCTTGTTCCTCTGTGGAGGCAACAAATGTTACCGATTTTTTAACGTATCATTCTAGTTCCATTCTGTGTCTCTCTAAACAAGCATGTATATATTTTTCTTTTTCCTTTCCTTTCCTTTCTTTTTATAGTTTTGATGCCACTAGAGATGTACAAGCTTCTTGTTGCCTTCCACACTGCACAGTAATGGTCACTTACTAGTAGGAAATGTCTCCAAGAGACTTCCTGGGAAGTTACTATAGTTCTGTAATTCAAGATGGGGGGGGATTATGGAAAATTGCCAGAAACATTGGGATTTTCTGGTTGTTACTTCAAAGTTGTTAAGTAATGATTGCTGTTCTGCTTAGAATTTATATTGTTTTAAAGCAGAATTCTCAGACTTTAGTAATAGGTTGTATTTTTACAGATTTATGGGTTATGTTTGCTTCTGTAAAACCTTAAGGAGACCATGTAGTTGAATGGAAGGTATATGGGATTTAGAGTTATTATCTGGAAAACTGTATTTAGCTTCTTGGTCTGCCTTTACTGTTGTGTAATCTAGAGCAAAGATTATTTATCTACTGCAAACCTCAAATTGGTTTGAAAATAGTAATGCTTGGCGCAACTGGTGGCTCAGTTGGTTAAGCATCTGCCTTCAGTTCAGGTCATGATCCCGGGGTCCTGGGATCAAGCCCCTGCTCAGCAGGAAGCCTTCTTCTCCCTCTCCCTCCCCTCCTCTCGTGCTCTCTCTCTCAAATAAATAAATTTTAAAAATCTTAAGAGAAAAAGGAAAATACTAATGCCCAAGGATTGTTATGAAGAGTTAATAAAATGGTCTGGAAACTAATGCTTTATAACTAAGGTTTTTTTTTTTGTTAATTACCCATTATCTCTTTGGTTTATCTGATACTTTGTTGAGACAGAAAAGATGAGAATTTGTTCCTCTATATTCAAAAGTGAGTAAAAGCTTTTTACTAAGTGCTACCGGATAAAATTAGAGAAATTCTTACAGCCCCGTCCTTAACATGTAATATTTTCAATTAAGTTATAGGGAAGGTTGGAAATAAATAGAAGGTAGGATTTGAAGTAATTTACTTCACAAGTTCGTAGTATTCAGAAAATACCTCTTTTCATGGATATATGAATTAACCTATCTTTACATTTGGTAGGCAAGAAGGTAAGAGTACTCCTGATCCGGCAGATAATGAAGAACTAGAAGAAGAGGTAGATGACGGGCCATTGCTGGTTCCTCGAGTAAAAGTGGCAGAAGATGGTTCCATTATTTTGGATGAAGAAAGGTAAGTTAAAAACAAAGACTGTGGTTTTCAAAAACCTGAGAACAAATGTGCTTTGTTTAATGAGAGAGAGAGTTTCTGCATCAGGCATTGTCACTTAGACACTGATATTTATATTTTTCTAATGGGTATCGTAAATGGAAAAGTGAGTTAGATTCATTTATAATTTCTAGGAATTTTTATGCTATGTTTTGTATGAGAAGATGGTACTACTGATCTATCATCCATTAACCTACCACCATTGTTTACTAACTTTACTGGTAATTGGGATGAGCTACTGAACTAATCATATGCTGGCCTCTACTGATGATAGATTTCAAAAATTGATTCAGTCTTGAAGTTAAAATTCAGGTTTTCATATTATTGACTAATACCATGTTTTGTTGTTTGGTAATAAGTAATGAAAATGCAGTGAATCATAGGTTTAATATTCTATGATTTCTGTTAGGACAAGGTTTAATTCACCTTGTAGTTTTAATTTCTCAGTTATAACATTAAATTTTTCAAATTTGGCATTGTGGAATTTGTTGTTTGTCCAAAGTATGTTTTTTTAAAAAAGATAAATTCATAGGTAGTAAGTAAATAAAAAAGGGTGATAAAAAGTCTTCCGACAGTTTAGTTAGTTAAAAAATCTTTTTATAGCATGTAAAATTCTATGATAATTAAACATTAATGCAATACTATTAGTAATTGTTTTTGTGTGTTGTTTTATATTGTGGTGACGATTTTACTGGTCATTAAATAGTTAAAAGTATTGAACTGCTTTGTGTATAGAAACATAGAACATAAATATCAAATGCTTATATTTCTTGATATTTTCTGCTGCGTCTAGCATGATAAAATATATATTAAATATAGGAGACATTTACAAGTTAATAAAACAAATAATTTTTTGGTGGCCCAAAGATAATGTGTAAATTTTATATTGCTATTAAGGATTTTGGAAAAATGTTGGCGTTTATTTTTATTCCTTGGCAATCACATTTTAAGTGAAAATTAGCAGATTCTTAGAAAATATGCATACCTCATATGTTATACTTTTGATATGATTCTGCCATGGTAAATTTCAAAATAGAACTATTCAGATATCATTTATTATTTTTCTCTGTTTTTAGTGCAGATCTATTTAAAAATGTGTCTTTTTCAGTTTAACTGTAGAAGTTTTAAGGACAAAAGGCCCCTGTGTGGTTGAGGAAAATGACCCCATATTTGAGCGTGGTTCTACAACTACATATTCCAGCTTTAGGAAAAACTATTACTCTAAACCATGGTCAAATAAAGGTAACTAATTTTCATTTTATTTATTATTATTTTTTTAAGAATTTATTTACTTATTTGACAGAGAGGGAGTTAGCGAGAGCAGGAACACAAGCAGGGGGAGTGGGAGAGGGAGAAGCAGGCCTCCCACGGAGCAAGGAGCCTGATGTGGGACTTGATCCCAGGACCCTGGGATCATGACCTGAACCGAAGGCAGACGCTTAATGACTGAGCCACCCAGGTGCCCCACTAATTTTCATTCAAATTGTGTAGGTTATTTATTTGAAATAAAGTGAATAATTTTCTGTAAGTAAATAAAACACAAACCATGTTATTTTCTCTTTAGCTAATTTTACTGGCACCTTCCAGTGGGGTTGCCTCTCCTGATACCATAGAACTATATTTCTGGCTTTATCTTAGTAATGTTTTTAGGAATTAGCGTTATGGTTGTTTGGGCTGGAATATTCCTCTCTGTCAAATCCCTGTATAAAAAATAAAATTTTTGTGGAAAATTATTAATAGTTTTAATACTCATAATAATGTTATACCTTCCTTGTATAATAACGTTTGTAAAGGTAAAAATTAGGCTGTTAAAAAAGCATGTAATACCTACGAATGGTATTGCTTATTCTTATAAAAATAATGCAAGTTGTTTTGGGGAAAAAAATTAAACACAAGAGAATAATACAGGGCAACAACAAAGATTCTATACTTCCCTCCTTTCACTTCCGCAGTCCTATTCTGTTGAGGTTACTTCTATTAGTAGTTTCTTATGTGTTTTTCTAGCTACTTTCTTTCACATACTAATTAGCACATCTCAGTTGATTCCATTAAAGCAGTAATATACTGGCTATGACTGACAGTTTGGTCACTTTGAGACCAGAAAGGCAGAATGTTATTGTCGTTGTCTTTTTTTTTTTTTTTTTTATTCCAGCTGCTTTGGTATGAACATAGAAATTTCTTTTATCATGTTCCTGTATAAAAGTTTAGAGATGTTTGAGATTCATGAAGTTCTTTGCAATAAAATTGACTAAAGATTTCCTAAATACTATTAAGTACTCTCAAATTTATTTTTAACTCAAAATATATACTTAATCTAAGAATTTTTTCTCTGACATACTGAGATTAATTTTCTTTCTTTCTAAATATTTTTTCAGAAACAGATATGTTTTTTTTAGCCATCAGCATGGTAGGAACTGACTTTTCTATGATTGGACAGCTTTTTCCTCACAGAGCAAGGATAGAAATTAAGGTAAAGTAAACGCATTACATTCATTGATTGGAAAAGGGCCAAAAATTACTAATACTATTTTTTTTAACTTTTATTTAAATCTCAGTCCATCCTTTTTCACTACAATGTTTTGGGTAGATCTTTCCCTTTGTATAGCTCAGAAAGTAATGAAATATTAATTGTAATATGAGTAGAGTCTCCTTGGTTTTAGCATATTATTGATATGTTGCCCACTTCTAAAATGGATTTGAGGGAGTACCAATAAAACCAAAGAAATTAAGATAAAAGAAGAGCTAAGTGATGAGGAGAGAAGATAAATGTACCGGAATATTTGGGTTAAGGGTAGCTTCTGAACACAATGTGTTTCTGAATTTCCTCGGAAGGCATGAAGAGAAGCACGGTAAGTTAAGTAATTCTCTTTATCTGAACTAACCATTGTTTTTCTAGGCTACCTTAACTTTTTGGACAGTCAGGGACACTATTAACAACAGCAGTGGTGTGAATTAGTGCTTTAATATGCCTGAAAGAATGAGCATTCTCTGTTTTATTGTTCTTTTTGCGAGAAACTTAATTACAAGTTGGGTGCCTGGGTGGCTCAGATGGTTAAGCCTTCGGCTCAGGTCATGATCCCAGGGTCCCGCATCGGGCTCTCTGCTCCTTGGGAGCCTGCTTCTCCCTCTGCTTTTCTCTCTCTCTCTCCCCCTCTGTCTCTCATGAATAAATAAATAAAATCTTTAAAAAAAAAAAGAAACTTAATTACAAGTTTCCTGGGATCGAGTGCATTTGAGTGCACACTATGTTGCTGTAATGCAATTCCAATTTATGATGACATCTTATTCAACCATGGGTTTTTTTCTTCATTAATTAAAAGAATATTAGGATAGATTTTTTTTTTCTTGAACTAGACCGGGCATGGATCCTTCGCCTGTGGACCATGTACATTGTAATGGTCATTCTATTTCTGCAAAAGATGAAGAATTGTTTATATTATTTATGTTCCTTTTCTAATGTTGATCTTTGTAAAGAAAACAAAATGTTAAAGCTAGAAATTTTTTTTAAGATTTTATTTATTTATTTGAGAAAGAGAGAGAAAGAGCATGACAGGGGGAAGGTCAGAGGGAGAAGCAGACTCCCTGCCGAGCAGGGAGCCTGATGTGAGACTCGATCCCGGGACTTCAGGATCATGACCCAAGCTCAAGGCAGTTGCTTAACCAACTGAGCCACCCAGGTGCCCTAACACTAGAAATTGATGGTCTAGGGGAGCTTTCTGATTTGAGTAATTAATAAGTTTGTCACTAAACTATTTCTCTCTAAAATTATTTAGACTCCTCCCCTAAGTTTAGTATAGTTCAACAGGTCTTTGGGCAAAGTATAGAAAAGTGAAAATGGACTAGTCAGTTATATTGATTTTCAAGTGTTGAACCAAACTTGTATTATTCTTTTTGTATGTTGAATTTTATGGTATTTTCTTGAGGGTTTTTTTGCATTTTTGTTCATGAGGGATGTTTTGTAATTTTTTTTAATGTCTTTGTCCAAAATGTTTTGGTACTAGGATTATGCTGGTCATAGAGAATGAGTTGGAAAGTGTTCCTTCTTTTATGTGAACACATTTAAGATTAGTGGTATTTCTCCTTTAATGTTTGACAGAATTCAACAGTGAAACCATCTGGGCCTGTAATTTTCTTTGCAGGAAGAATTTTGATTATAAATTCAATTTCTTTAATACCTATAGGTATACTCAGATTTTCAGTTTTGTCTTGTGTCAGTTTTGATGCTAAGCTGTTGAATTTATAGGTATGAAGTTTTTATACTGTTTACTGAAAATTTTAATGTGTGGTGGATAGTCCTCTTTCATTGATAATTGATGTTTTCCTTCTCTCTCCCTTTTTTTTCCCTTTGTCTTGCTAAGGGTATTTTGACTTCCAAAAATCTTTTTAATGAACCAACTTTTAGCTATACGTTTTCAATTATTTGTGTATTTTCATTTTTTTTAACTTTTTAACTTTTCCTTCTATTTACTCTGCCTTTAATTTTCTCTTTTTCTAGCTTCTTAAGATGAAAATTTAGGGTGGCTCAGTTGGTTGAGTGACTGCCTTCAGCTCAGGTCGTGATCCTGGAGTCCCGGAATCGAGTCCCACATCGGGCTCCCTGCTCGGCAGGGAGTCTGCTTCTCCCTCTGACCCTCTTCCCTCTCGTGCTATCTCTCGTTCTCTCTCTCTCAAATAAATAAATAAAATCTTTAAAAAATAAAGGATGAAAATTTAGGTTGATTATAAGCCCTTTTTCTTTTCTAATTAGACATTTAAAGCTGTACGTTTTCATCTGAGCATGGCTTTACTTGCATTTCATAAATTTTGATAGGTTGTTTTCATTATTCAGTTAAAAATACTGTCTAGTTTTCCTTGTGATTTCTTACCTTACATGTAAGTTATTTAGAAGTGTCTTGTTTAATTTTGAAATATTTGGGACATAGCTAAATATCTTACTATTTTCTAACTTAATTCCATTGTGAATGTCAAATAGCAATCTGTAAGATTTCCGTCTTTCCGAAATTTAATGAGATTTATTTTAAAACCTGTTGTACTTATCTTAGTCAGTATTCCTGGTGCACTTGAAAGGAGTTGTGTACTCTGTAGTTGTTGGATGTGTTATCTAGTTCTATCAGTTAACTGAGAGAATTGACATCTGCAACCATGATTATAGATTTGCCTGTTTCTGTGTTTATCACTTTTTGATGTATATTGAAGTTCATGTATATTGAAGTTCTTTTATTGGGTGCATTCATTTTTAGTATGTTGTGGAATTGATAATACATCATTTGTCTTTCTCTGATTTATTTCACTTGGCACAGTGCTTTCAGTGTTCATTCATGATGTTGCAAATGGCAGGATTTCTTCTTTATGGCTGAATAATATTCCTATACACACATACACACACACCCATGTGCCACATTTTCTTCATTCATTTGTCACTGTACGGTAGATTGTCTTGGCTGTTGTAAATAATGCTGCAGTGAACATGAGGATACTATATCTTTTCGAGATAGTGATTTTATCCCTTCAGGTAAAGATCCAGAAGTAGAATTGCTGTATCATATGATAATTTTATTTTTAGTTTTTTTGAGCAACATCCACACTGTAGTGGCTCCAGCAATTTATCCAGTCTGACACTCTACCTTTTTATTTAATTTTATTATAGATGGCATTTCTGACAGAGATGAGGAAGTGTTCATTGAATTCTTATTTGACCTTTGATAAAAATAAGACAAAGTGTCTGTTGTACATTTCCACGTAATAATTTAGTTCATTTACTTTAATGTAATAATTGATATGACTGGGTTTAAATCTACCATCTCAATATTTTCCACTTATCCCATTTGTTTTTCACTTCTCATTTGCTGCCTTCTTTTGGGTTATTCAGATAATTTTAATATTATTTTTTATTTTCTCTTTTGTACCACTTTACTCTTTACACTTCATACTCCACAAGTAATAAACTCTTAAAGGTATATTCTATTTACCCTTCCTCTTTTGTGCTATTCTTTATTTCCCTTTTACACAACCCAGTTTTATGTCCAACTTATATTGGCTTAAAGTCTTTTATCTTTAAAGGAAATTGAGCAGAAAAAAGAAACTAGTTTTAATATGTAGCCATGTTTAATATTTAGCCACCAGTTTTGATATTTTTCATTTCTTCTTGTAGGTCTGAATGGCAGGTCTGCTGTTGAAAAATTCTCTCAATTTTGATTTATCTGAAGGTCTCTATTTCAGCTTCACTTTTGCAGGATATTTTTGCTGGATATGCAGGTGGTTTGACAGTTTATCCTTTCAGTGTTTTAAAATTGTCATTCCATTGTCCATTGGCTTCCAGTATTTCTGATGAAGAATCAGTCATATTTATGTTATTCTTCCCTTGTATGTGATAAATTGTTTTTCTGTGGATGTTTTCGAGATATTTTTCTTTAACTCTGGTGTTCGACAGTATGATTATGATTTGCCCAGGGATAGTGTATTTTCAATATTTTTTCCACTTTGTTCTTGCTCTCTGGGACTCCACTTATGTGTGTTAGTATGCATAACATACTTAAGGTTACTAAAGCTCTGTTCGTTTTTTTCTGATTTTTTTTTTTTTGTATTGGTTTGTTTCCATTATTGCATTCACAAGTTGACTGACCCTGTCTTCTGCTTTCTTCAATCTGCAGATAAGCCCATTCAGTGAATGCTTCATTTCTCATGTTATATTTTTCATTTCTTTAATTTCCACTTGGTTATTTTTCTTAGTTTCCTTTCTTCTGAGATTTCCCTATCTGTTCATTTTAGTTTTTTTTTTTAAAGATTTTGTTTATTTATATGAGAGAGAGAGAATGAGAGACAGAGAGCACGAGAGGGAAGAGGGTCAGAGGGAGAAGCAGACTCCCTGCTGAGCAGGGAGCCCAATGTGGGACTCGATCCCGGGACTCCAGGATCATGACCTGAGCCAAAGGCAGTCGCTTAACCAACTGAGCCACCCAGGCGCCCCCTATCTGTTCATTTTAGATTTGCCTTTAAATCATTGAACATATTTATAATAGGTGCTTTAATTTTCTTGTCTACTGATTTCAACATCTATGTCATGTTGATCTATTTCTGTTGAGTCTCCTTTTATTTCCTTGTGTATCACATTTTTCTATCTTTTCTCATGTCTTATGTAGTTTTTTTAATTGAGTACTAGACATTGTGGTTGGTATGTTTGATAATATCTAGATTGTTTGTTTTTCTCCTTTAAAGGGTGCTATTTTATTGTAAAAGGTAGCTAATGTCCTCCCAACTCTCCTTTGCCTTTCAAGGCTTGGTTTTAGGCTTTAATAAGGCAGATCTAGACTGGTCCTTATTCTAGGTTTCTCATCTGAATCATAGAAAATAATTTGAATTACTGTTTTCTATGTTCTCCAAGGACCGCCATATTAGTATTGTTCTAGATGTACAGGAGAGAAGGTAATTCATTACATACAGTGGATGCCTTAGGGCATTAGGGTTTAATTCTCCTGCTAGAACCCCAATTGAGAAAGGCTGCTCTAAGACTGTGGTCCTTATCTCTAACAGGTGGCTTTTCTGGTGTCTGGAGTAAATGTTTGGGTGTTAACTTTCCATTTGTGTGGGCTAGAATTCTATCACCTCACTGTGTTATGTGACTGCTAGTATCTTTCTTCTGCTGTCATTCCTGGAGGAGTTGTTCTCTTTTAGGCTTCATGCTTCGGGCATGGGGAACCCAGATATAGAATAAGGACCCATGGGATACTTCTACTAGGCTTGTGAGGCTCCCCTTTTAAATTGCTCTCTTTTCTCTAGAACCCCCAAAGATTCTCTACCTCCTTGGCTCAGTGAGAGTTCTGCTGCCTTTGGCCTTTATTTCCTTTTCATTGTTTAGGAAATGTAGCCCAGTCAGAGAGCTAGGGTGAACATTGGCACATCTTAAATGTTTCCATTCTCTCTGGAAACGTGGAGTTGTAGTTTTGCTCTTGCTATTGTCTAGTGTTTGGAAATAGTTGATTCATTTATTTTGTTCAGTGGTAAAGTTATTTTTTTTAAAGATTTTATTTATTTATTCATGAGAGACAGAGAGAGAGAGAGGCAGAGGGAGAAGCAGGCTTCCAAGGAGCAGGGAGCCCGATGTGGGACTCGATCCCAGGACACTGGGATCATGACCCGAGCTGAAGGCAGACACTTAACCATCTGAGCCACCCAGGCGCCCATTGTGGTAAAGTTATTTTTGGTGTGGTTGGATGTGTTGAGTAAGCCTGTAACCAGTTACTTTATCAGCGTTAGAGGTGGATATAATGGGATTTATTTTACGATCATGGAATTTAGTCTGGAATAGTTCCTGCCTATAAATTCAATGAAATAACAATACATTTTTAAAAATGTTTTAAATTGTTCTCAATTATATTCTCATTTAGGTAAAATATGGTATAGTAATGTTTTAAAATTGAATAATGCCTAAAGCTGATTGGCATTTCTCTTAGGATATTTAATTTAGTGATGATAGCCTTATGGAGGTTAACTTTTGAGGAGACGTTTAAAGAATAATATAATCTTTATAGGAGAAAGATGATTTTGAAAAGTTTGATGTTACTTGGTAATAAGTTTTATGAAGAAAATAAAGACTGGAAAAGAAGGATAACCTATAGATAAAAATATGTTAAAGTCCTATGGAGTTTTTAAAGAATGGGCAAGGTTAAACTAAAGAGTTTAAAGTTTGAATGATAAACAGTAAGGAAAGGCAAGAAAGTGAGTTCTTTTAAAGTCAGTGGTTAGACTTTTTCAGAGGAAAGGGTGCCACGAAGTGCTGCTTTGTATTGTGTAATTTTTCTTTATTTTTTTCCAATAAAAAGTTTGATTTTTGTATTTTCAACAAAAGCTTTTAGACTACTGATCTATAGAAGGGGGAGAGATTAGTGATTATTTGCTCCTCCAGGATATACATACATTTTTTGACATTCTCAAACACAGGCTTATACTGTCAGACTTCATAATGACTTTTGGATGGAACCTTAAACTTTAACCATCTCCATCTTAATCTGGTTTTCAGCTGAGAATGATGTGCTCTTTGGTGCTCAGAAAATCAAGAAATGTGTCTTAATATAAAGAAGGCTCTAAAGATAAACTGCCTGACTCAAAAGTTGTTTCTGTACAGTCTTTCCTCCATGTCATAACAAACATTAGAATAATAACATAAGATGTTTAACTTGATGTGAATATATTAGTTTTTAAAAAGCTAATACTGGTTAGCTTAATTGATTACAGTTTGATCTGTTACCAGGCTAATTGACTTTATTTTTTTGCATTCTCTGTAAACTTAGCTTCCATTGCTGATTTATGCTGTTGATTATAAGGAGGTTTAGGGAGCTCAGTATAAATCTTCATCCCTTTTTTTTTTTAAAGATTTTAAAAAATTTATTCATTAGAGAGAGAGAGAGACAGAGAAAGCACAGGCATGGGGAGCAGCAGAGGGAGAGAGAGAAGCAGGCTCCCCCCACTGAGCAGGGATCCTGACATGGGGCTTGATCCCAGTACCTTGGGATCATGACCTGAGCCGAAGGCAGGTGCTTAACTGACTGAGCCACCCAGGTGCCCCACTTTTTAATTTTTTTAGAGAGAGAGACACACACACACAAAAATGCACGTGTGAGCAAGGGGGAGGGGCAGAGGGAATGTGAGAGAGAGAGAGAGAGAGAATCTCAAGCAGGCTTTATGTCCAGTGTGGAGCCTCAGCAGGGCTCCATCTCACGACCCTGAGATCATGACCTGAGCTGATGCCTAGCCGATGAGCCACCCAGGCACCTCTGTAATCTTCACTTTTTTTTTTTTAAGATTTTATTTATTTATTTGACAAAGAGAGGTAGCGAGAGCAGGAACACAAGCAGGGGGAGTGGGAGAGGGAGAAGCAGGCCTCCCGCAGAGCAGGGAGCCCAATGTGGGGCTCAATCCCAGGACCCTGGGATCATGACCTGAGCCGAAGGCAGACGCCCAACAACTGAGCCACCCACGTGCCCCTAATCTTCACTTTTTTAATGGGAGAAAATTACTATAGTTTTTTTTTCTTTTATTAACAGAATAAATTTAAACGTGAAGAGAAAACAAATGGATGGAGAATAGACAAAGCCTTTCGTAAGTATTAAGACCTCTTCTACAACATACCACTTGGAGATCTTAAAAAATGACCAATCTTTTGTGTTTAGTCCATTGTGTTTTAGATTTGTTTTGCCTCTTTATTGTCATTGGAAGAATGAGACTGGAGATTTTTCTCTTTAGCAGTGCAGGTCTGGGAGCTGATAACAAACAGATCTGTAGGCAAGGGATAAGCTAAAACATCAAGAAGCAAGTAAGCAGAGCTCTGAGTTCCAGACGTTATAAAGGAACTGAAGATACCATTTTTTTTTCAAGATTTATTTATTTATTTTAGAGAGAGATGGAGGGATCTCATGTGGGGGAGAGGCAGAGAGGGAGTGAGAGAATCTCAAGCCAACTCCCCGCTGAGCGCCTGACTCGGGGCTCGATCCTAGAACTCCCGAGATCATGACCTGAGCCAAAATCAGGAGTTGGACGCTCAACTGATTGAGCCACCCAGGTGCCCCCTGAAGATACCATTTCTAAATGTTTTTTATTTTGAGGGAACTGTATTCAAGAAGAAGTTGTTTCTGGAAGAACTTATACTATAGATGATTCCTTCTTGTGGTCATTCAGTTAACAATACTGAATACCTCCTGTGTGCTAGTTAATGTTCTAGGCATTGAGAATATACTGGTGAACAGGGCAGATGAGAAGCTTGTTTTTAGAGCTGTAAGTCTAATTGGATGGGGGAAAGGATAAAGTCAGTAAGCATGGTTAATTGCAGAAAGTGAGTAATTTCTGAGAAGAAGAAAAAAGGGAGTGAAGAGTGGATGTGTGGATTGAGTGGTCAGGAACGTTTTGTCTAAAAAGATGGCATCTGAATTTACACCTGATTTGAAGGAATGATATTTTTCAGCTTTTAAGTAATAGCCTCATTGAAATTAACATTTTTTTCTTTTTGAGTCCAGAGGAAAACATCAAGAGATCTGTACAGAAAAACAAAATTGAATGCATTGTTTAAAATAGTACCTGTAGGAATGCCTGATGCCTGGCTAGCTCAGTCAGAAGAGCTTGTGACTCTTGATCTCGGGATCATGAATTAGAGCCTCATGTTGGTTGTAATGACTACTAAAAAAATAAATAAATAAAAGACAGGCAAAGGTTTGATACCTATTTAAAAAAAATAAAGTAGTACCTATAGTCTTTGGAAGATAGTTATCAATGTTTCATGATAAATAAATGTATTCAGTATTGCTGTAGTGCTAGTCTCAGAACAAAACCTCAAGTGAGGACTGATGTTGTATAGCATGTGTGTTTACTTTATGAGTAGACACTAAGGTAGATGACTGGACTCTACACCCAATGTTGTTGTGGGTCCTCAGGGACACGACTTCCAGGAATGGCTCCTGGAAGATCTGGATTGTTTTGGTCGTCAGTCTTCTCCATTTCAGAGAGGTGGTCTTGAAACTGTGCATTACATTCAGTGCATTATAATCAGAAAAGAATCTGTAGATCTGTAAAGTCTTTATGGGGGTGTGGAGCCATTGTTAAAGCCATTATAACTTAAATTCACTGATTTGGGTGCTTTGTGGTGGAAAATTAAAAAAAAAACCCAAATTTTTTTTTTATAACTTCTATTTTCTTTTTTTTTACTGTTTATTTTATTATGTTAATCACCATACATTACATATAACTTCTATTTTCAGTTCCTCTGAGAATTACTTTTTTTTATTTTTATTTATTTATTTTTTTAAAGATTTTATTTATTTATATGACAGAGAGAGACACAGTGAGAGAGGGAACACAAGCAGGGGGAGAGGGAGAGGGAGAAACAGGCTTCCCGCAGAGCGGGGAGCCCGATGCGGGGCTCGATCCCACGACCCCGGGACCATGACCTGAGCCGAAGGCAGATGCCTAACGACTGAGCCACCCAGGCGCTCCCAGAATTATTTTTTTTAAAGTTTATTTATTTAAGCAATCTCTAGGTCCATTGTGGGGCTTGAACTCACAACCCCAAGATTAAGAGTTGCATGCTCTGCCGACTGAGCCAGCCAGGTGCCCCATCCTGTGAACATGATTTTAATGCTGTATTTTTCAGAATCATTGTTGTGGATGGTCAGAACAGAAAAAGGCTGGGTCCACAATAAACAGGGCCTTCAGGAATCCTAGGTTTGGGCTTGGTTTCTTGAGGCTACTTTATTTTTGTTACTGTATATACCTCTTTTTCTTTTCCTTTTTTTTTTTTTTTAAGCTTTTATTCATTTACTTGACAGAGCGAGAGAGCACAAGCAGGGGGAGTGGCAGAGGGAGAGGGAGAAGCAGGCTCCCCGCTGAGCAAGGAGCCCAATGCGGGGCTCAGTCCCAGGATGCTGCAATTGTGACCTGTGCCAAAGGCAGAGGCTTAACTGACTGAGCCACCCAGGTGCCCCTATATACCTCTTTTTCTGAGGCAATTAAACCAATCTTGGGGCTTACGTATATAGAGCATAATTTTTTCTACCTTCACTGTATTGTTAGATGTAGATTTTAAGCAAAGATTTGACTCCTGTAATGGATTCATTCCTGGTTTGTTCATGGCTCTTTCTTTTTCTTTTTTAAAGTAGGCTTCTGCCCAACATGGGGCTTGAACTCACACCCTGAGATCAATAATCCCATGACTCAGTCTATTGACTGAGACTGCAAGGCACCCCGTTCATGGCTCTTTCTGATGTAATGGTGGTGTTGGGTATTCAGTGCGAGTGGTCCTGATCAAAATTCATTTGCTTCCTTCTTTGTTGATACTTGGAAGGGTAAATAGTGAAAGGGTTGTGATAAGAGAGGACATGTGGTGGAGAGGCTTTTGAGGAATTAGTCATACTAATTAGTCTTAAAGTTGATTGATAATTTACTTATGGTGCAATTTATAGTTTGAGTTTTGACAAAGAGTATACCTGTGTAACCACCACTCAAGGAATGGAACATTGTCATCACTCCAGAAAGGCCCCTCGTATCCTTTTCTAGTCAGTTTCCACAGCTATCTTGATGCAGGGCCACCACTGTTTTTATTTGAATCATCATAGATTAATTAGTTTAGCTTGTTCTAGAACTTCTTATTCATGGCATCATACAGTATGTACTCTTTTATGTCTGCCTTCTTTTAGTCAGCATTTTTGAAATTTTCCTATAATATCACTTATATCAGTACATAGTTCCTTTTTAAATTTTTTTAAACTAATGTAGCTTATTTCTTTTTATTGCTTGATTTTCCTTTGTCTGACTACTACAGTGACTGGAGTTGGTTACACATTCTCCTACTAATAAGCCCATTTGCTTTTGATGTCATGATACTTGAAAATTCTTTCTTTTTTTAAAATAAAAACTTGAAGGTTCTTTTTCTTTTTTTTTTTATAACAGAGGAAAAGCGCCCTTTTGACTTCGATTTTTTTGCTCATTTGCTTCAGAAAGTTCTTGCTGAAGAAGAGAAAAGAAAACAAAAATCTGTTAAAAATCAGAGTTTAAAGGAGAAGAAATCTTCTAAACCACGGAAAAATGTAAAAGGTAAAGTAAAAGAAAGTGTGTTCTATTAATAATAATAGACTTGGAATGTCCCTTAAGTCTTTGAGCATTCCTATGTCCTTTAGGTAGTTGAGATCATCTGGGCATCCATTGGGGAGAATTGATTTTTCTCCAGGTCTTTTAGTTATCTCACCCAAAATAGTACTTCTGTGTAAATTTTATAATTGGCATGGCTGGGCTATTTAACATCTTTCTTGCATCTAGGGCATAGTTGTAGCTAATAAAAGAGCATTGGAATTTGGGGGTGTCATGTTTGGTTATTTATCATCATTTTCCTTTGTAAAACCTGGCACAAAGTTCTAATATTTAAAAAATGGAACTCTGATACTTCTGCTTGTGACTGAAATGTATTGTTTGAGCACAGTTTTTTTCCTTTTTTTTTTTTTAACATATAATGTATTATTTGTTTCAGAGGTACAGGTCTGTGATTCATCAGTCTTACACAGTTCACAGCGCTCCACCATAGCACATCCCCCCCCAATGTCTATCACCGAGCCACCCCTCTGTCCCACCCCACCACTCCAGCAACCCTCAGTTTGTTCCCTGAGATTAAGAGTCTCTTATGGTTTGTCTCCCTCTCTGGTTTTGTCTTGTTTCATTTTTCCCTCCCTTCCCCTATGATCCTCTGCCTTGTTTCTCAAATTCCTCATATCAATGAAATCATATGATACTTGTCTTTTCTCTGATTGACTTATTTCACTTAGTATAATATCGAGCACAGTTTATTTCTGAGGGTTAATGTTGACTTGTACTGGGTAGAACCTTGTTTATATGTAGGTATTTGTATTTTTAGGCAGATATTTTCTTAATTATTTGAATTTTGATCTAGGAGGACAATGTTTAGCTCTATTCCAGTACTTTAAAGAATCATGGAACTATAGGGAACTTCGTATGTTAGGTAGTCCACATCCCAGACCCTTTCCATTTGTTTTAGTCACCTGGAAACAGCCCTGGAGATCTTGTTCGTTTTTCCTAAGGTCTCACAGTTTTAGTAGTGACAGAGGCAGGACTCGAGCCTAGGGCCATAAGAGCCTGCTTTGGGGGTCTGCAAGACTACTGCTAGGTTTGATTATTGGCTCAGAGAGTCACAAGATCCAACATATAGTTGTACACACAGCTGAGATTTGTTACAGTGAAAGGCTATGGAATAAAATCAGCAGAGGGAAAGACATGTGGCTCCAAGTGGAGGGGAATTTAGGTGCAAGCTTACCAGTCCTCTCTCCTAGAGTCACACAGGTTATGCTTCATTCCTGTAGCAACAAGTCATGGTGAGATACATAACAAGTTGTCTACCAGCAAAGCTTGTTAGAAACTCAATATCCAAGGTTTTTATTGGAAGCTGGTCATGTAGACACCCTCTGCCTGGCACATATCAGACTTCAGAACTCCCAAAACGAAAATAGTTTTTCAGCATAAACCACATTGTTTGTACAAACATTTTAGGCCACTTTTGTCAGGCTGGTGTGAATTCTCCCCAAGTCCAAGTTTCCAGACACAGCCCAAAGGCCAACCTTTTAAGCAGGACTTTGAAGGGATAGCAGTGAGGCCTGCTACATTAACTCTCTTCTGCACAGAGCAGTCAATATTTCTTTTTCTGGAGCATGATGTCTGTATCATTTTAAACATAGTATTGGTAACTACAAAATTATTTCATTCTTCAGTCATTTATTTTACTTACTATACATGACCCTCAGAAATTAAAATAGATATATTAACATGACTATTATGTAATAGATGAAAATGTAAGTAAGTCATTGTATCTTACTTAATGTGAGAACTTTTCAGATATATCATTACAAGTCTCAGAATTTAAAAATTACTGTTTATTATTCTGGTAAGAGAATCCAGTGTTGTCTTCTCAGTTTTAAAATCTTGTTATAACTTTTTTTAACAAAAGTAAATGACACTGAATTTTATTATTTTTTTAAGATTAGATATTTTTAGAGAAGATGTCTTGATCGACCATGGTTGTGAAGTTAAGTTTGTTTTTGGTTGATGTCTCCATGGTGATCTCTCTTGTTTGGTTTTTAAACTTAATTTATTGTTTTCATCTTTTTTTTTTTAAGATTTTATTTATTTATTTGAGAGAGAGAGAATGAGAGAGCGAACACGAGAGGGGGGAGGTTCAGAGAGAGAAGCAGATTCCCTGCTGAACAGGGAGCCCAATGTGGGACTCGATCCTGGGACTCCAGGATCATGACCTGAGTTGAAGGCAGTCACTTAACCAACTGAGCCACCCAGGTGCCCCTTGTTTTCATCTTTTGATACAGTTAACTGTTAATATGCCTTCATAGAAAGGGCACTAGAAATTGTTTAAAAATATTTGTTAAAAAGATTGTACATTGAAAAACAAATGGTGCAGAAAATAAATTTGTTGAATTCTCTTTTGTACCCGGCCCTCAAATCAAATTGTCCAGATTTTCTAGGGATAACCATTAGTAAACTCTTTTATTCAAGTGTATGTGTGTCTTAGAGGATACGTAATTGTTTTTGCTTAATAAAAATGAGATCATACTATATATGTTTTCTGCAACTTTTTTTTGTGCAACAATATTTTTTTTGAAATCTTTCATATTACTACTTATACGCCTACCTCATTATTATTTGTTGTGTGGATTTTTATAGCGTAAGTGTATTATTAGTCATTCCCAGTTGGACGTGTTGGGTTGTCTTCAAATTTTTGCCCAGATATCCTTCAGTATTTATCTTCTCCGTCTTCAAGAATTTTTCCGTAGGGGCACCTGGGTGGCTCAGTGGGTTAAGCGTCTGCTTTCGGCTCAGGTCATGATTCCAGAGTCCTGGGATCAAGCCCCACGTTGGGCTCCCTGTTCAGTGGGGAGCCTGTTCCTCTCTGCCTGCTGCTCCCGCAGTTTGTGTGTTTTCTCTTTGTCAAATAAATGAATAAAATCTTAAAAAAATTTTTTTCTGTAGGTTATTTATATGTTTATAACAATATCTTTGCTTTTCAAAGTGAAAAAAGTTGCCAGTGAAGGAGGAAATGATGATCCAGATGTGTCTCCGAGCACCAAAATTTCAGACACAGAATTACCTCAAAAGGATGCTCAGATAGTTGAAGAAGAACAACAGTCTCAGACTTTAACAGGACAGGATTCAGAACAGATTGCATTAGAACCAAACCTAAATCAAAAGAAAAGAAGAAGAAAGAATCAGGATGAAGCTGGTAAACAGGAAGTAAAAAATCTTTCAGGAAATGCCACTGTTCAGTTAGGTCATTCTAAAGGAGAAAAATGCAAAAGTAAGTTTCTTAAATATATTAATAGTTCCTGTATTACTTGAGAAAACATGTACTGTAGTATGAAATGTAATTTAAATACTTCTGAGTAGTAGCAACTAGTAACGCTTAAGTTTTGTATTCTATATTCATGTTACTGTGTTAAATCCTTTTGTTTTTAAAGGAAGTTTATTGTTGAGGGGTAAAGAAACCAAAGTGAACTGGGGAAATTTTTCTCTAAAGTATGTTTCTGGGGCACTTGGGTGGCTCATTCGGTTATGCATCCAACTCTTGATTTCAGCTCAGGTCTTGATCTTTTTATACTTAAAACCAAACTGATTAGAAGTCATAACAATGTATATAGTTAACTGTATATTGCTTGTGTATCTTAATAAATCACAGGTGTTCATATTCTACCTCTACAGAGCACCTTTGAATCCACAATTAGTTGTTTAATTTTTATAAAAGAGCTACTGAAATCAGTTTCCTCTTTCCTTCCTTCTTTCCTTTTTTCTTTCTTTCTTTCTCTTTCTTTCTTTCTTTTTTTCTTTCTTTTTCTTCTTTCTTTCTTTCTTTTCTATTTTTTTTTTGTATCTCCCTTAGAATGCAGGCATTTTGACACCCAGGATTTGCTAGGGAATGAGGGCAAAGAGATTTGGGCATTTTTAGTCTCTTAAGAATTCATATGTAGATTACTTAAAGTGGATAACCAAGTAAATAGAGAAGAAGAAGGTAGTAGCAGACCAGAAAAACCTTTCTATAGAATGTAAATTTTATGTAGTTCAGTTTTACCAATATGATTTTAATGAATGAGTCGTGGTAGTAGCAGAGTATAATTTATAGGCATCACAATATTATACTCATTTGTGGTTTTCCATTAAAGATACTACATAAAAAGCAGAATAGCTCAGTAATTAAGAAGGTGGACTTTGGAAATCAAACAGACCTTGGTTTAGATTCCAGCTTTTTTGTTTGCTAATTATGACCTTGGGTAAGTCACCTAAGATATTGAACTCAGGTTCTTTTTCTCTGTGATGGATTTACCACCTTTTAATGGGACTGTTTTCAGTATTAAATGAGATAATGCATTTGATGGGCTTAGAGTTTCTATCACTTAGTACTAAATAAATGATAGCAGTTACTGTGTTATTAATTATGTTCTTCTGAAGGAGCAGGATAGGCCAGTCTGCCTGTAGCTTCCTAACTAGCTATATAGAACAAATAATTTTAACCGTTTAAAATTTAAGCAAGATAAAAGGAGAATGCTATAAACTACTCAGGAAATTTGGGCTGATCCTCAAAACACAGTTAAACTTACACAGTTTTAAGTTGATTATCTTTTCATTAATGTTCTAAAATTAAGATCTCTGCCTTACATATAGGAACTTGAATGTGGAATGGATTAATGATTTGTAGGAAAATCACTTTTTTATGTAAATTCCTTTGTGCTTTAAAAAGAAGATGTTTTCATTTTTTAGAATAACATGCATTTTGTATTCATAGATAAAGATCAGTCTTTAAGGCCTGAGATAAATGAAGATGAAGTCAATAAGGAACAGAAGCTTTCTTGCATACGAAACATGGATGACATTGTGGATTTATCCTCCAGTGAAAAAGCTGAGAAAAGAGCTGACCCTATCCTTTTATCAAGGTATTTTTCTGTACCTTTACTGACTTTGTTTACATCTTCTATCAGTTACTGAGAGGGGAGTGTGAAGTCTCCAACTGTAATTGTGAACTTGCCTGTTACTCTTTTCAGTTCTATTTGTTTTTCTTCGTGTCTTTTGAAGTTCGTTAGGTGCATGCATATCTAGAATTGTTGTATCTTGGTGAAATCACTCTTTTATCATTTGTGTGTATCATTCTGATATTTCTCTTTGTTCTGATGATTACTTTGCTACAGCTGTCTTGTGATTAATGTTTGCATGGGTTTCTTTTTTCTTTTTTTTTTGGTGAGGGGAGAGAGCAGGCTCGAGGGTGGGGGGGCAGGGTAGGGCAGAGAGAGAGGGACAGAGAATCCTAAGCAGGCTCCACTCTCAGGTTGGAGCCCGACACAAGGCTCGATCTCACAACCCTGAGATCATGACCTTAGCCGAAATCAGGAGTGGGACGCTTAACCAGCTGAGCCACCCAGGCGCCTGACTGGCTTATTTCACCTATCATAATGTTTTCAGGTTTCATCTGTGTTGCAGCATTTGACAGTATTTCCTTTTTTTTAATGGCCAAATAATAGTCCATTGTGTGCATGTATCACATTTTCTTTATTCATTCATCTCTCAGTGAACATTTAGGCTGTTTAGTTTTTTTTTTTAAAGATTTATTTATTTGACAGAGAGAACACAGCGAGAGAGGGAACACAAGCAGGGAGAGTGGGAGAGGGAGAAGCAGGCTTCCCGCCGAACAGGGAGCCCGATGTGGGGCTTGATCCCAGGACCCTGGGTCCGTGACCTGAGCCGAAGGCAGACGCTGAACGACTGAGCCACCCAGGCACCCTTCTCTTGGCTATTTTGAATAAACATTGGAGTGTAGATATCTCTTTGAGGTCCTGTTTCCATTTCTTACAGAAAAATACCCAGAAGAGGGATTGCTGAATCATATGATAGTTCTGTTAATATTTTTTTACATTTTATTTTTTTTTTAGGTAATCTACCCCCAATGTGGGGCTCAAACTCACACCTCTGAGATCAAGAGTCACATGCTCTACTGAATGAGCCAGCCAGGCACCCCTCTATTTTTAACTTTTTGAGGAGCCTCCCCACTGTTCTTCACAGTGGCTGTGCTATTTTATCTTCCCATCAGCAGTGCACAAAGATACCAGTTTTCCATATGCTCACCAACACTTATTATTTTCTTTTTTCTTTGTTTTGAAAATGGTTATTCAGACATACGTGAGGTGATACTTCATTGTGGTTTTGATTCGCATTTCCCTGATTAGTGATATTGAGGATCTTTACATATACTTATTGGCTGTTTGTATGTCTTCTTTGGAGAAATGTCTATTCATTTCCTTTTCAAATTTTTTAATTAGGTTATTTTAATTGAATTATAGGCATTCCTTTTATATTTTGGATATTAAGCTTGTGTCAGATATATGGTTTACAAATATTTTCTCCCATTCCATAGGTTGTTATTTGACCTTGTTGATTATTTCCTTTGCTGTGCTGAAGCTTTTTAGTTTGATACTGTCCCACTTGTCTATTTGTGCTAGTTTGTTCATACAATTTGGAAGATTAATAGTTTCTTTGAAGCTGAGCCCTTGGACCTTGGGTCCTTAATTTGCTAGGTGACAATTTAAATTGTGACTTCAGAGATACAACTAATTTCATAAACTACACATAAAAGGTACTATGGCATTTTTAGGGGAAGAACAACCCTGTAATGACTGTTAAGATCCTAACTGGTTTTGTAAAACAGTGAGCCGATTCTAAAATTATTAATTACACAAGAGCAAAGGGTCATGAGTGGTAAAGACAATTTGAAAAACAACATTTCTGGGGAGGAAATATATTAATACTTTAAGCTAGAGTAATTAGTGTGTTACTGGCACAGGGACAGATTGACTCAGCAGAACGGAATATAAAGCCTAGGGGCAAAAATTTAGGAATCTGATAAATAGCAAAGGTAGCATTAGAAATTAGTGGGTGAAGATTGAATTAAATATTCATTAGATGGGTAGATCTGTCTAATATTAGATAGTATTAGATCCTTATTTCACCCTCTGTGCTAAATTTCTGATAGATTAAAGGCCACAGGGACGCTGGGTGGCTCAGTTGGTTAAGCGTCTACCTTTGGCCCAGGTCATGATCCCAGGGTCCGAGGATCAAGTCCTGCATTGGACTCCTTGCTCAGCAGGGACCCTGCTTCTCCCTTTGCCTGCCACTCCCCCTGCTTGTGCGTGCTCCCTCTCTTTCTCTGATAAATAAATAAATAAATAAAATCATGTGTAAAGCAAATCTTGAAAACTTTTAGAAGAAAGTGTTTGGAAATACCTTTGTGATGTCGAGGATTTCTTAAGATGTAAAAAGCAAAACTTTAAAAGATACAATTGATGAATTTGACTGCAGTAAACATAACTATTTCTTTTGACAAAAGGTTTCATAAAGAACGTGAAAGGCATGCTACTGTTTGGGAGGTTTTATGTATATTATCTAACCAAAAAATAATATATAAAGAGCTCTTATTGATTAGTTGGGAAAAGACAAACACCCAGTAGAAAAAATGAGGGGAAAAACAAGATCTAGTTAAAGTCATATGTGTTCATTCTGCGTGCCAGTTAGTATATGGCCATCATTTATGGTATTATTAATTGGGATATTTCATAATACAGTGGTCTTCTCTTGGCATACAGTGCTAACTGCAGCTTATGCATATTGGCACTGTGTCCTTGGATTTATAAAACTTTTGGTTAACAGAGTACCATGCAAAGCAGGGCCTGCCTGTATAAGATTTTAATGAGAGATTATTCCTAAATATTGCTCTGATTTTACACATAGATTTGTCAACCCCATGTAATTAAGATTTTTCATTTTGACTTCTTGAGTGTTTTCCTGTGCCTGTTAATTTGTGGCTACTCTTTCTCTGTAGGTACAATTTTTTTTGTTGTTTGGTTTTGAGAGAGAGGAATTGTGTGCGAGTGGGGAGAGAGGGGCAGAGGGAGGGGAAGAGAGAATTTTTTTTTGTAGAAAGCATCTTTTTTTTTTTTTAAGGTTTTATTTAAATTCACGTTAGTTGGGGCGCCTGGGTGGCTCAGTCGTTAAGCGTCTGCCTTCGGCTCAGGTCATGGTCCCAGGATCCTGGGATTGAGCCCCACACTGGGCTCCCTGCTCAGAGGGGAGCCTGCTTCTCCCTCTCCCACTCCCCCTGCTTGTGTTCCCTCTCTCACTGTGTCTCTCTGTCAAATAGATAAATAAAATCTTTAAAAAAAATAATAAATTCATGTTAGTTAACATATAGTATTAGTTTCAGGGGTAGATTTTAGTGATTCATAACTTGCATATAACACCCAGTGCTCATTACATCAAGTGCCCTCCTTAATGCCCATCACCCCATTACACCTCATCCTCTTCCCCTCCGGCAACCCTCAGATTGTTCCTTATAGTTAAGAATCTTAAGCAGCCTCCACGCTCATTGTGGAGCCCAACTTGGGGCTTGATCTCACCATCCTGAGATCATGACCTGAGCTGAAATCAAGAGTTGGAAGCCTAACTGACTGAGCCACCCAGGCGCGCCTAAAGATACAGCTTTTAACAACATGGTACAGGAAGGATCATAGAAAAGCCAAAATACTTATGTTGATAATTCCAAAATATGAAGTATCATTTTCCAACTGGTTTTATATGTTAAAAAATATTTTAAGTAGTTATTATAAAACATGTATTACCAAGAATTCTTTTCCTCCTGATGTGTTTTCATTTGCTTAGTGATCAACAAGGTGCAACCTCACTAGCAACTGAAGCTTCAGAATCAAGCCCTTCAGATTTGCCTTTATCAGAAGCTGGAATTACCTCACTGTGTGAAGTGAATAATGTTGAAAGTAGTTGTACAGAAGAAGGCAGTGTTGACCTAAAAAATAAATCATTGTAAGTATTTTACATGGTAGGATTTTAAAATTTACTTTCAAAATTGTGATGATTTCTTATTTAAGAAATGTGATAATGTTGCTTTCTTTAGGGACTAGAAAGGGACGGTACACCATTTAATATATAATTGTACTATGGTCTGATTGTGACATAAAGGCTTATCACTTTATATTTCATTACAGAAAGATTCTCTTTCATGTTTAATAGATAACCATGATAGGAATTTTATGTACAATGGTGACTTATGCTGAAATCCTAAAGTAATTTGGAAGCCTAAACATTTGCTGTTAGATACTTTTACTTGGCTTGAGTAATTTTTCAAAGTAGTAGATTTTTGATATTGATGACTTTAAAGAAATTATGTTTTATGTTTTCTAGTGTGCAAATACTGATTAACATTTGCACTAAAAACAGAATAAAAGCACTACAAGAATTTGCCTTTGAAGAGAGAGAGCTCAGAAATTCAGACTTCCTTTTTGGGTCCCTCCTAAACTCCTCATACAGGCTTAAAGGCTGTTTAGTTTATGAATTCTTAAACTTATTTTCAGTAAAGCACAGTCACACAGAGAATGAAACTTTTTTTTTTTTTTAATAAAAGTTTAGTCTTTGGTATAGGCAATATGGTCTTACGGCTCAAACATCTAGAAGTATAAAAAGATATAGAGTGAAATATCCCTCCTTCTGTGTCCACATTCACTCTAAGTTATTATTATAAATAAATACACTCTATAATTTATTTCTGCTATTCTTTCAGAGATTTAAAAAAAGTACTTTAAAACTAATACAAATGTATGTTCTTTATATTTTTTTACTCTTAAAATCCTAATGATAGTGTATGTGTGAGACACCATTTTGCAATTTTTTGGTTTTATATCTTGATATCTTTGCATAAAGATCTTCCTTATTATTTTTGAGTAGCTGCATAGTATGTAGTGTTCTGGTGTACATGTGCTGCTGATGCGGGCACTTCATAGTGTCCTGGTGTATAGATGGATTAGAGTTTATATTATCAAAGCCCAACTGATGGCTATATAGGTTGTTTTTTTCAAACAGTGCTTAAAATCTTTAACTTCTATCCTTTGTATGTAAGTACAGTGGACCCTTAGGAACAACACAGTGGTTAGGGATGCTGACCCCTTTGCAGTTGAAAATCCACAAATAACTTTGACTCTTCCAAAACTTAACTACTAATAGTCTACTGTTGATTGGAAGCCTGATGATGCAATTGGTTGATTAACACATTTTTATGTTATATGTATTATATATTGTAATCTTACAATTAAAGTAAGCTAGAGAAACAAAGTGCCTTAAAATAATTAGAAAATACATTTACAGTACTGTACTGTATTGAGAAAAATCTGTGTATAGGTGGAATTACACAACTTAAACTTGTGTTGTTCCAAGGTCATGTGTATTTGTTGGGTGAGTATTCAGAATGGAATTGCTTGCTGCAATGTATATATGTGTGTGTGTATACACATATACACATTTAGAATTTTGAGAGATACTTCCAAAGTGTTCTTCATAGGAGTTATACTAGTTTACATTCCCACCAGCATTGTAAGAAATGTCTCCCTTAACAGAAAATGGTGTTTATCAAACTAGGATTTATGCTGGTCTTGATAGATTAAAAAATAATACTTCCGTATACTCTCTCCATCCCACTCTTCCTTTTTAGGCAGGGGTGTGTAATGCTTTGTTTTTATTGAGTTTTTTATTTTAAAATTTTCTAACCTAAGGAAAAGTCAAAAGAATAGAACAATGAACATTTGTATATAATTCCCCTTAGATTCTATAATTCCTAATGTTACATTTGTGCTTGCTTGCACAGGTGCACACATCTCCCTCCCCCCCTTAATTTGTGCTTTTTTAAAACCTATTTTTATTTTGTTTTTTAAAGTTGTTCATATTCTTTGTCCTTTTTTTTTTTTTTTTTGAGATTTTATTTATTTATTTGACAGAGCACAGGCACGGGGAGTAGGAGAGGGAGAAGCAGGCTCATGTGGGGCTTGATCCCAGGACCCTGGGATCACGCCCTGAGTTGGCGGCAGGCACTCAACCTACTGAGCCACTCAGGCGCCCCTCTTTGTCCATTTTTAAAATGAGTTTTTGATGCTACTGTTTGTAGGAGCTCTTTTTATTTTAGGGAGATTAGCCTTGTTTTTTGATTTGCAAAACATGCTTTCTTGGTAGTTTAACTTCTGACTTAGTCGTGTAGAAGTTTTTGATTTTTATGTAGTTATATTTCTCAATTTTGTTTTTCTTTTATGGCTCCTGAATTCTTAGTTAAACTTTATGAATGCTTACCCCAACTCAAGGTTATAAAAGAATTCATCCATGTTTACTGTGTGGCTTTATTAACTCTGATGCATTGGAACATATTATGAGTACAGTGCAAGGAATGGAGCTAATTTTATTTTAGTCCCCAGTGTTAGTTTTCACATCACCATTGCTTTGATATTATTTGTAACAGTACATTATTCTGTATTTCATCCTCGCTGTTTTGAAATGCTGCCTTTTTTATATACTACTTTCATGTGTTTTAAAGTCATCTTCTAAGTTTTCTTTTGTGTTTCATTTATGTTTATTCACATTATCAGTACCAGTGTTTTAATTATTGATGCTGAATAGTTTCTTTTTAGCATCTGGTAAAATAAGTTACCGCCTCATGGCTCTTGTTTTTCAGTTCTCTTTGCTACTCTTACTCTAAGTAAACCTAAAGGACTTTTCTGCCTCTGAGTGGATTTTTAAAGAATTTTTCAGAATTTTATTTGACTGTGTCTCCATGTTGGTGCGATTTAAATAATGTTCATTAAAAAAATAAAAAATAAATAATTCATTTTCTAGGGAAACTGATCAGTCAGGAAATGTTAAACTGATGGGAAGAAGACAACTACAGAGACCTAAACCCAATTTATCAAGGGCAGTTGGGAAGAAACCTGTTCTTTCACAAGGTAAAACAGATGCGGAGAGCAAGAGTTTACATGCAGAAACTTCAGTTGAAAAGGTATGGCGTGAGACACTTTATAGAAAATAAAATTACAGGGCGCCTGGGTGGCTCAGTTGGTTAAGTGACTGCCTTCGGCTCAGGTCATGATCCTGGAGTCCCAGGATCGAGTCCCGCATCGGGTTCCCTGCTGAGCAGGGAGTCTGCTTCTCCCTCTGACCCTCGCCCCTCTCATGTGCTCTCTCTCTCACTCTCTCAAATAAATAAAATCTTTAAAAAAAAAAAAAGAAAATTACAAAAATTTTTCCTAAGTAGTTGGGAATAAATTGTTTAGTTTGTAACTACATGATAATGTAACTGATACTAAAACAAAGATACAAGAACACATGAATATTAAATGTGTCTTGTCTCCTGTTTATGCCTTTAGAACCTAGGACATACCATTTCAGACATACTCAGTAGTGAAAAATCTCTTTTGTTTACTTACCTAAATTTTTAAAAATTAAAATAATTTTTTTAAAAGATTTTATTTATCTATTTGAAAGAAAGTGAGAGATCATAAGCAGGGGGAGCAGCAGAGGGAGAGGGAGAAGCAGGCTCCCCGCTTGAGCCGGGAGCCCGACGGAGCCCGACACTGGGCTTGATCCCAGGACCCCAGGATCACGACCTGAGCCGAAGGCAGATGCTTAACGACTGAGCCACCCAGGCGCCCCTACTTATATAAATTTTGTATTCAAAATATTTTTAACCAGTTTTCCATCAAATTATATCCTTAGTCCTTTCTGCAAACAGACATATTCCCGTCCTTCATAATCTTTGTTTTTCTTTTTATGTATGAAAACATTTCTGTAGGTTTTAATCATAACATACATAATATTTAAAACTTTTTTCTCTGAAACTACTCATTAACCTTTTCTTGGGGTTAATCTTTTTAATAGCTGCATCAGGTTAACATATTATTAATTTACCTAAGCATTTTTCTAATGGTAGACATTTAAATTGTTTCCATTTTTTAAAACTCTCATGAATAAAAGCAAATGGTTTTGTAAGTAGCCCTTTCTTAAGGAAAAAAGCAGAGGATAAATTTCCACAGGAGGTGAGATTAATGAGTCAGAGTATTTTAAATATTTCTTGGCTTTTGTTATGCATTGTCAAATGACAGTCAAAAAATTTATTTACACTGCTACAGGCATTAAATGAATGTTCCTGTTTTTGTATATCTCTGCTGGCATTATATTGTTATAAATTTTTTATTTTTGCTCAAATACACTTTAAAGTGTTAGCTTTTTTCCCTCTTATGTTAAATATTTTTTATTATACTCTTGTAATACAATCATATTATTATAGTCTTGTAAAATTTGACGAAATTGGGAAGCTACAGAGTATTGTAAAAATTAAGACAAAAATTACTTGTGATTTCATTATCCAGCTGCAACTAATCTTTTAGCATATATCCTTCCAGCTTTTCCTATTACAGAATTTAATAGTATTAATTCAGTTTTGTATCTTTCTTTGGTTCTTAACATTTCTTAAATATTTTTCCATATTATTAAATATCCTTTGAAAACATGGTCTTTAGTGACTTCATAATATTCTGTCAGTGGGTATAACTGAATTTAACCATTTACTTATTATTGGATATTTTGTCTGTTCAGAGTGTTTGGCATTTTATATAATGTTCTAGTAAACATTCTTGTACTTTGTCTAAATATTTACTTAGAGTCTTAGAAATGGTATTACAGTATAACTTTTTTTTTAAGATTTTATTTATTTATTTGACAGAGAGAGACACAGTGAGAGAGGGAACACAAGCAGGGGGAGTGGGAGAGGGAGAAGCAAGCAGGCTTCCCGCGGAGTGGGGCACCCGATGCGGGGCTCAATCCCAGGACCCTGGGATCATGACCTGAGCCGAAGGCAGACACTTAACGACTGAGCCACCCAGGTGTCCCCAGTATGAACACTTTTTAAATAGCTTTTATTTATTTGACAGGGAGAGAGAGGGAGCGTGCACAAGTGGTGGGGGGAAGGGGCAGAGGGAAAGGGAGACTCTCCTCTGAGCAGGGAGCTCAACATGGGGCTTGATCCCAGGACCCCGAGATCATGACCCCAGCTGAAGACAGATGCTTAACCAACTGAGCTACCTAAGTGCCCTGAGTATGAACATTTTTTAGGCTCTTGATTTCATATTGGCAAAAGGCTTTCCAGAAAGGATACACCAATTTTTGTTCCTGTCAGTTAATAGATGGGATTATATGTTTTATAATGTTCACAGCTGCATTGATGATTTATAAAATTCTTAGAAGAACAAAAAATGAAATGTCATTGTTTTAATTTCCATTTATTTAAACGAAGTTTGGACTTTTTTATGTTAAGTCAATAAAATGTAAAAAATTGAATTTATAGAATCATATGGAAAAGGATAAAGTGAATACATTGGACGTTTCTGGAATGGGGAATACAGAGAGAGACAACCCAGAAGTTGAGACTGTATCTACGTAAGTATTTAGGAAGTAGAATAAAAGTAGTAGCTTTTAAGAATGACTCTAATAAGTTCTGTACTTGATAATGTCTGAATTTTATTTCCGTTTAGTGTACTTAAGTCTTCTCTTAACTGTAGGTGTGTTGAAACATTTCAGTAGTGATCTTTATGCTACTGGAGAAATAAGTTATGATACAGATCCATTGGGTTCGCAATTACATTTCTTCCTTAACTTACTAACAGGATTTTAACAAAGTCTTGTTAAATTAATTGTTAAGATACATATTTCTGGATAATTTTATGTATAGCAGGTTTCAAAAGGTAATATTTACCTGGGAATGCAGATTCAGAGTAGGTCTTATTCTAATACTAATTTGAACCATTGGGTTCTGGACTGTACATTTATGCCATAATCTTTGTCTAGTGCCCTGGAGGTGTACGTTACAAACTAGTATTCTTAGTGGAGAATGGTATTAAGTGTCTGTCAAATATAGATTTTTTTCCAGTTTTGTGATGAAACGATTTTTATAGTTAGGGTTCCAGGATTATGTCTGTCCCAAAGCGTTAAGGTATAGAAACAGGAGTATCTTTGATGATGTATTTGAGGACACTTGTAATTATTTTTATATTTCAAATGGTTTACTTATTCATACCTTGGAGAAGAGAATACTGAAAACAAACATGTGACTTCAGAATAACCATAATTCTGTTCTTTTGTAGTTCTAGTGAAAAAACTGGTCTGCGGGAAGATGATCAAACGAAGGCTGTCAGACCAGCACGACTAATGAGGGGTCGATTGCAAAGGCCAAAGCCAAATGTAGGAAAAGCTGCTGAAAGAAAAGAAATTCTTGCATCACAGGAAAAAATTGAGGCTAATGTAAAAAAGAATGAAAGTCAATCCTGTATTACTAGAGATGTAAGTACTCTGATTCTTGCCATTTTTTTGTTAAACAAGTACTTAAGCCTTCTTTTACCTCCCTCTATAAATGGCATGACTGTACAGTTGTGTTCATTGTATATTAAATTTAAAGCCAAAATCTCAGAGCCAGCAGCTTTGCTACTTATAAAGCCATTTAACTCTCAGCAATCTAGATTTTGGGCATTTACATAATGGAGCATCTGCTTTGATCTTATTACTTCGTGTTTGACTTGCCTCCCCCTCCCCATCATTTAGGTATTTGAATTATGCTTCCTTTTTGAAAATAGAGCTAGATATGTGAATTTTAACTCTGGCTTAAACACAGTAAAATGTTAAAAGCTTCCTACTAAAATAGAATTCCAGGAACAAAGATGATGAATTTTAGGTTATTTACATAATAACTAGTCTTTGTGATAAGGGTAAGAGTTCAGATCATAGTTAGATTTGAATTTCTTTTATAATTCTCAAGGTCCAAATTGTAATGGTACTAATCAGAAGATAGACCCCTGGGAATAATTCTAATAGACGAGACTGAAGCGCTGTAACTTGCTTTCTGATAAGAGGAAAAGAATGGGGGCTTTGAGATAAGGTAGAAGGTGTAGCTTGTGAAATTTTTAAAGATATTTAAATAACACTAAAAAAAGTGTCCTTTGAATATAATTTTATAATTTTGAAATGTTTACCATTTTCCTTGTACTCAAATTGGAGAAAATTTTCAATGCAATTTTTTATAAATGGGTGTTTCATTGTGAAACCTTAAAAATGTGTTTGTTGTTAAGAGTCCTGAACAAGTAGAAGATCAGTCATGTAAAAATGTTGACTTTGAAGACATCACATTACAGTCTGAGAAAGAAGATAATTTTTTTCAAATGAACGTTAATGAATGTGTAAGGTAAGCATCATCTTAATGGTTATGTAATCTTTGAATTTTGTATAAAGTTTTAGAAATGTTTAATCAATTTTTCAAAAGCAAATCAGATTAATATTTGTGTATCAAATTACATAATATTCACAATATAACTTCACTTTTCGGGGCAATTTATGTCATAGCTTTCTTTTTTTTTTTTTTTAAAGATTTTATTTATTTATTTGACAGAGACACAGTGAGAGAGGGAACACAAGCAGGGGGAGTGGGAGAGGGAGAAGCAGGCTTCCCACAGAGCAGGGCGCCCGACTGGGGGCTCGATCCCAGGACGCTGGGATCATGACCTGAGCCGAAGGCAGACGCTTAACGACTGAGCCACCCAGGCATCCCTATGTCATAACTTTCATGTTAATTTCTCAGTTACTCGTGATTTGATGAGTTGATGTACTCATCATAAATTAGACCTGAATTAACATACATGTTAGATTAAATGTCTGTGGCCAAATGTGAAATGAAACTTCTTTTCTTCTATTTGTTTCTTTGGGATTAGATTGATCCACATATGACCTTTATTTAAGGTTCACATAAATTTTTTATAAAACCCATATATAGAAACCCAGTACTTCTCCTAGCCACATGTGGCTCTTTCTTTTGTTATTTCCCCTCTGGAGGGTACCAACCAAAATCGATGGAATTATTAGTATACTTTGGAAAATGTTTTTCCTTTGGAAATAAATATTCAATGTACACAGAAGTAGTGAGAACAGAATAGTGGACTTGTGTGCATTACTATGTAGTTTCAACTATTACTCGTATTTTATCAATCTTTACATTTGAAGTCTGGCCTTCCTTATGCTTTCTTGTTCAGATCATACTTCAGTCTGGCTATTTTAGATTCTGGTCAAATCTGGCCACATAAATGTGTTGTTTAACTCTTATGGCAAGGCATATGTCTGGATAAAAGATAGGAGGTGCCAGGAGGTAGGAATAGTAGACATAAATTGGTCTAACTTCAATGCAGAGGACTGGAGACCCTTAGCCAGTATTTGGGAAGGATTATGTGGATGACAATTAGAGACTGTTCAGAGCCAGTTGACTACTACTCTACTTGACCTTATTGATAGATTTCTCTTTATCCATGTCTCTCTGTGATTAGATATATTTATTTTAAAAATTTGTAATTTCAAAACATGGTTTTTTTTTTCCCTCTCCTTTAATTTTTAGGTTTTACCCAGAGATACCTGAGGCTTTCTTAATTTTTTATTTTTTTGAGAATTCCTCGTCTTTCAGTAGTATTTTCTCAACCATCCTTTCTTCAGCTGGCAGTATGCTTTAAAATGTGTTTTTTTTTTTTAATATATAGTATTCAAGAGGATAATAAAGTCCCAGTTCTAAAGACTCGATTTCAGAAACCAAAGCCAAATATAGGAAGAGGAGCTAGAAGAAGAGAAACTTTCTCAAAGGAAGAGGTGTCAGAGGAGATTGTTACATCTGGGCAATTCACAGCGCCTTTGAGAGAAATTACGAGAGTGGAAGAAACCTTACCAAGGGAGAGTATATTACTGGAGGCTAATACTACTAAGGAAATGGAGTCATATTTAAAAAAAACTGAAAGAGACAACTCTCCCAGAGAGAAGATACCAGAAATGAGGGACAACACTGTGGATATGGAGACAGATTTGAAAGAAACTGGAAGAGAGGTTTCTCCAAAGGACACTATATCAGAGGTGTCTGATGTCATCGAGGAAAGAGTGACAGATTTGGAAGAAACTGGAAGAGAGGTTTCCCCGAGAAACACTATATCAGAGGTGTCTGATGTCACTGAGGAAAGAGTGACAGATTTGGAAGAAACTGGAAGAGAGGTTTCCCCAAGAAACACTATATCAGAGGTGTCTGATGTCACTGAGGAAAGAGTGACAGATTTGGAAGAAACTGGAAGAGAGGTTTCCCCAAGGGACACTATATCAGAGGTGTCTGATGTCACTGAGGAAAGAGTGACAGATTTGGAAGAAACTGGAAGAAGAGAAATATCCCTACAAGAAAATGCCCCGGAGGTCAGCACTACAGATGAAGTAGAAACAGGTTTAGAAGAAACTGGAAGTGAGGTTTCTGTAAGGGAAAATGTACCAGAGATGGTTGATGCTACTGAGGACAGAGAAACACATTTGGAAAAAACTGAAAGAAGAGAAATAGGCACAGAAGGAAAGGCCCCACAGGTCAAGACTCAAGGTGAAATGGAGACAGATTGGAAAGAAATTGAAAAAGGAACTTCCCTGAGAGAAAAGGTACTAGTGGGGATCAGTGCCATGGGGGAAAGGGAGATTGATTTGAAAGAAACTGGAGAAAGAGACCTTTCCCTGATGGAAGAGGTATCAGGAAAGACGACTGCTACTGAAGAAACAGAGGCGGAATCAAAAGAAACTGGAGGAGACATTTCCCTGAAGAAAAGCAGATCAGAAGAGATTAATGCTCCTGAAGAAATGGCTGCAGATGTGGAAAAAACTGGAAAAATAGACATTTCTCTAAGGAAAAATGGAGCAGAAGAGACTAGGACCTCAAGACAAACGGACACAGATTTAATGCAGAGCAGTAGTAGTTGCTGCAGCACTATCCCTTCACTAAATATCAAAGTATGTCTTTTCTGTTCTTTAGAAAAACTGTTTTTGAACACTTTTTCAGAGAAAAATTATCAAAATAAAAGCCGTGATTATTGCTCTTAAATCCCACAAGATTTAAAATCTCTAAAAGCTTAAAGTCTTTTGCAGCCCTAAATTCTGTTTTAGGACCTTATAGAAACTATGCACTTTAAAAAAAAATAACTTAAAAAATATTTAATTGTGTTTTAAGTTACCATTCTTAGTTTGAAGTTACTCTTAGCTAAAGGAGTGTAGGGAATTGGACTGAATTAATGCTAACTCTAGTATGAACATGCATTAGAATTATTTCTTTTGACCAAATGTCTCTCTCAGTTTTTATTTCCTGTCCCACTCCACTTTTATTTTTACTTTTTTATTTTTTAGATTATTTATTTAGAGAGAGTGAGTGGGAGGGGCAGAGGGAGAGAGACAATCCCAAGCACACTCTGCACTTAGCATGGAGCTCGACATAGGGCTCAATCTTAGAACCCTGAGATCATGAGCTGAAACCAAGAGTCAGATGCTTAACTGACTGAGCCATCCAGGTGCCCCCCACCCCCACTCCACTTTTAAATTTTCTTTTTTCTTTGTTTTTAAATTTTTAAGTTTTATTTTATTTTAGAAAGATAGTGAGAGAGAGTGCGAATGGTGTAGGGGCAGAGGGAGAGAGTGAAAGAATCTAAGGCATGCTCCATGGTCAGCACAAAGCCCAATGTGGGGCGTGATCCCACATCCCCGAAATCATGACCTGAGCTGAAATCGAGAGTTGGACGCCCAGGTGACTGAGCTACCCAGGTGCCCCTAAAATTTATAAAATATTTCCAGTGGGGTTGCTTGGCTGGCTCAGTTGGGGGATCATGTGACTTTTTTTTTTTTTTTACCATGTGACTCTTGATCTTGGGGTTGTAGGTTTGAGCTGCACGTTGGGTGTACAGATTACCTAAAAATAAAATCTTTAAAAAACCCAAAAGTTTCTAGTTACTTGAAGTTCACACAGTTGTGACATTATCCATTTGTGCTAATTTACTGTGGCTGATTTCCTGTGACTCTTCCTCTAGAACGTTAGCAGTGAAGTACTATCCGTGGTGCATACACCTGAAGAAGAAAAAAGAAATTCTGAAAAGGAACTGTCAGGTCACTTGAGTTGTTTGAAGACTTCTTTGCAGACTTCTGAACCTGATAAAACAGAAGACCGGGGGATGCTATCTCCAGATGTTCCAGAGCAGTTTTCAGATGCTAATTTAAGGTACAAGTATATTGGTCTATGTGCTTTTAAAGACAAAGCATCTATTTTTTAAATTTTTTATTTTTTTTAAAGATTTTTATTTATTAGCGAGCAAGAGCAGGGAGAGGGTAAGAAGAGGGAGAAGCAGGCCCCCTGCTGAGCAGAGAGCCCGATGTGGGGCTCGATCCCAGGACCCTGGGCTCATGACCTGAGACAAAGGTAGACGCTCAACTGACTGAGCCACCCATGCACCCAAGACAAAGCATCTAAAGTTATATTATCAGATTATCAGTAAGGTTTCGAGACATATCATCTATAGCATAGTGTTACAGATTTTAAGCTTTGGGATGTTTGGGAGAGAATTTTGAGGTCGTTGTGACAGTAGATTGAGAGAATTACTAACATCAGAATTGTATGTAACACATACTCCTAAGTTAATATGGGTGTGAGAACCCGTATTTCCTCTTTGCACAGGTGATAGGCTTATACTTCATTTGTACTCCTCATATTTTTTAGGATCTACCAAATAGTCCAGTTTGTTTTTCCTGTTAAGAATTAGGGGTGCCTGGGTGGCTCAGTCGTTAAGCATCTGCCTTCAGCTCAGGTCATGATCTCAGGGTCCTGGGATCGAGCCCCGCATCGGGCTCCCTGCTCAGCGGGAAGCCTGCTTCTCCCTCTCCCACTCCCCCTGCTTGTGTACCCCCTCTCGCTGTGTTTCTCTCTGTCAAATAAATAAAATCTTTAAAGAAAAAAAAAAGAATTAGATTTAGGGGCACCTAGGTGGCTCATTCGTTAAGCATCTGCCTTTGGCTCAGGTCATGATCCCAGTGTCCTGGGATCAAGCCCCACATTGGGCTCCCTGCTTGGCAGGAAGCCTGCTTCTCTCTCTCCCACTCCCCCTGCTTGTGTTCCTGCTCTTGCTATCTCTCTGTCAAATAAATAAGTAAAATCTTTAAAAAAAATTAGATTTAATATTTACTGCCAATTTCTCAAGTTGTCCTAAGACTCTGTTCTCGTTGCCCCTTCAACTCTAACGTTCAATAATCTTTTTTCCAAAAGCAAATCTCTTCCTCAAGAGCAGAAGCCACTTGAAGTTAAACCAGCACCTTTTGTGAGAAGTCGATTCAAAAGACCAAAACCAAACTTAGCAAGAGCAACTTTAAAGAGAGAGACTACAGAAGCAGAAAAATATGTATCTGGGAAGAAATTGGAAACTGATAATACTGAGACTGTTGTGGTACAGCAGAGCAATGAACAGATGAACACTCTCCCTTCTCAACATGTGAGTGCTATTCAACATGTGAGTGGATGTTCTTTGTTTTAGCTATTATGATTACTAAGGTAAAACAGCTGGGGTTAACATTTAACAAATATTTTCTCATATAATTTCTACTGCATGTGGTATTAGTCTTGTTATACTTACTGTGCCTCACCATTCCATGTGGTTTTGTAAGAATCTTATCTCTCTCATGATGGGCAAGTGTGTCATGGAAAGGAATTTAAGAGTCCTGGGATCTAAGTTCTGACCTTTATTCATCGTGTGACCATAGCCAAATGATGCAGCTAGTTTCTTCACAGAAAAAATGAGTTTGATAGTCATTCTTTATTTTACTTTGTTGTTAAGGTGAATCAAAAAGTTAAAAGCTTGATAGTTAAAGGAGATGTTTTATTTACTTTGTTAACTTGGTCCATAACAAATTAAGATTGTGTGATATAATATCAAAAATGTTGAATGGAAATGTTAACACTTGTAAGTTGAGTGTTCTAAATATAAAAGTACTTTTTTGGCCATACAGATGGGCAACAGGTACATGAAGAAATCCTCAACATCACTAATCATCAGGAAAATGCAAATCAAAACCACAATGAGCTATCACCTCCCACCAGACAGAATAACTAGTCAAAAAGACAAGAAATAGCAAGTGTTGGTTAGGATGTAGAGAGAAAGGAACCCTCATGCACTGTTGGTGGGAATGTAAATTGGTGTAACCACTGTGGAAAACAGTATGGAGGGTCCTCAAAAAATAAAAAAAGAATTACTACATCCAGTAATTCTAGTAGTGAGTATTTGCCCAAAGAATATGAAAAGACTAATTCCAAAAGATGGATGCACCCTTATGTTTATCCTAGCATTATTTACAGTAGAGAAGATAGGAAAGCAACCAAAGTGCCCACCAATAGATGAATGGATAAAGAAGATGAGTTATATATATACAATGGAATATTACCCAGCCATAAAAAAGAATGAGATGTTGCCATTTACAGTAACATGGATGGGCCTAGAAGTCCATTTTGTCAAGTGAAATACTATGCTAAGAGAAGTAAGTAAGTCAGAGAAAGACCAAATACCATATAATTTCCCTTACACGTGGAATCTGAAAAATAAAACAAAAAAAACCAGGAACAGACTCAAATACAGAGAACAAACTGGAGGTTACCAGAGGAGAAGGGGGTGGGGAGTTGGGGGGAAAAGGGAATTGATTAAGAGGTACAAACTTCCCAGGGCCCCTGGCTGGCTTAGTTGGTAGACCATGCAACTCTTGATCTTGGGGTTGTAAGTTCGAACCTCATGTTGGGTGTAGAGATTACTTAAAAATAAGATCTTTTAAGAAGCACAAACTTTCAGTCATGAAATCAGTAACTAACAGATAAAAAGTACAGCATAGGGAATATAGTTAATAATATAGTAACATATGTGTGGTTATAGGTAGTGATTATACTTACCATGGTGAATATTGAGTGATGTATATAATTGTTGAATCACTGTGTTGTACATATAAAACTAATAAAACATTATATGTCAACTATACTTTAATAATAATAAAGACAAGTTCATAAAAATTATTAAAATGTATTTTTTAAAAAGTGCAATTTTGGAATAAAATTCTTCTTTTATGTTTTATTTATTTATCTGAGAGAGAAAGAGAGCATGAAGGGGGGAGGGTCAGAGAGAGAAGCAGATTCCCCACTGAGCAGGGAGCCCGATGCGGGGCCTCGATCCCGGGACTCCAGGATCATGACCTGAGCCGAAGGCAGATGCTTAACCAAGTGAGCCACCCAGGTGCCCCTTCTGTTATGTTTTAAAATAGCTTAGTTCTCGGGTCCCTGGGTGGCTCAGTTGGTTAAGTGTCTACCTCTTGATTTTGGCTCAGGTCTTGATCTCAGGGTCATGAGTTCAAGCCCAGTGTGGAGCCCACTTAAAAACAAATAAGATAAAATAGCTTAGTTCTTACAATGCTTGAAAATTTGTCCTTTTTTTGCCTGATCTTATATTTTAAAAAGATATATCTTTTTTTATTGATTATCTATCTGATTATAAAAATTTCACATTGAAAAAATATGTAATCTAAAAAGTGAGAGTCCGTTATAATGGCTCATTTCTACCTCCCAAGTTAATCAGTCATGTAGTTATTTTGAATATATCCACCCAGCCTTTTCTGTATACTTATTTATATAAATAATAAAATGTGTGGGTATTTTCATTGTTTTCCAAAAATGGCGTTATAACTTGCCTTCTCATTTTTTCACTTAACATAATATTGTGAACATATTTTTGGATCAGCATATACAGATCTATCTTCTAAATGGCTCTGGACTGTTCCATTATAAACAAATTATAATTTATTCAATACCCTACTGATGGGTTTGTCTTGTTGCCAGTGTTTTGATTTTGTTCTTGCTTTTTTGGGGGGCTATTTAAATGGGTATAATAAATATCTTTGTATGTACTTTTCCATATACTTACTTGAGTATTTTTGTAAGATACATTTCTAGAAGTAAATTTGCTGAGAATTAAAATTTTTGGTAGATACCGTTGTTGTCCTCTACAGAGACTTTACCAATTTATTTTGCTGGTAGTGTATGAAAGTTCCTGTTTCCCTATACTTTTATCAACCCTCGGTGAAATTTTTCTTATTTGCCTTCTAGGGTGTGGCTTCCCTAATGACATCAAGAGAAAAAGACATATCAGGTCACAGGGAGGAGGAGTCTGTAATATTACCATGTATACAGACTGAAAAGGACCTTTCACCTTTGAGTTCTTGTGATCCTAAAGAGATGTCTCAGCCTACACAGGCCCAGGAAAAGGAATTAGTTGTTTCTACAGGGTAAACAGTGATACTTCTTTGAAAATATGAAATATATTTATATTTAAAAAAAAAAGGAAAATCTAAAATAGAATTTGTTCAAGTATTTCTTCATTGTTGCTAAGATGTGTTAATGTATTTTAAAAGTGAATACCAAGAATACTTGGTTTATTTTTATCTTTTTTAGTATTTTTATTTATTTATTTTTAAGATTTTATTTATTTATTTTGACAGAGAGAGACACAGCGAGAGAGGGAACACAAGCAGGGGGAGCGGCAGGCAGAGGGAGAAGCAGGCTTTCCGCTGAGCAGGGAGCCTGATGTGGGGCTCGATCGCAGGACCCTGGGATCATGACCTGAGCCGAAGGCAGACGTTTTACAACTAAGCCACCCAGGCGCCCTCTTTTTTATTATATTAAAAAAGATTTATTTATTTATTTGAGGGAGGGGGCGAGAGTGCTCAGGGAGGGCAGAGGGAGAGGGAGAGAGAGTCTTAACCAGACTCCACGCTGAGCACACAGCCCTATGCAGGGTTTGATCTCATGATCCTGACATCACGACCTGAGCCGAAACCAAGAGTAGGATGCTTAACCAACTATGCCACCCAGGGCACCCCAAGAATACTTGGTTTATTTTTATTCATGTGTCAGACTGCCTAAAATAGAAAATCACATTGAGTTAACACCTTTTAATGCTTGCCTGCTTGTATTCACCATTAGCTGCTTAAGGTTTTATACAAACCATTGCATTTAAAAATACATGTATATAAAGATTGTATTCATTATCTTGTTAAAAACTATAGTAGAAGGGCACCTGGTGGCTCAGTCGATTAAGCGTCTTGTCTTCAGCTCAGGTCATGATCCCGGGGTCCTGGGATACAGCCCCGCTTTGGGTTCCCTACTCAGTGGGGAGTCTGCTTCTCCCTCTCCCTCTGCCTGCTTGTGTTCTCTCTTTCGAATAAGTAGATAAAATCTTTACAAAAAAAATTGTAGTAGAAGACTTATTTACTGTTTTAACCATTTTTTATGTATATGGTCTAGTGGCATTAATGCACATTCACAAGAATGTGCATTCACATCGTTTTGCAACAGTTACCACATATATCTCCAGAACTTTTTCATCTTCCCAACTGAAACTTTACCCATTAACAAGACCACACCATTCCCCGGCAACTACCTTTGTGCTTTCTGTCTCCATGAATTTGAATCTTCTAGGTACCTTATTTAAATTCATTACCTTTTGGGCGCCTGAGTGGCTCAGTTGGTTAAGCGACTGCCTTCGGCTCAGGTCATGATCCTGGAGTCCTGGGATCGAGTCCCGCATCGGGCTCCCTGCTCAGCAGGGAGTCTGCTTCTCCCTCGGACCCTCCCCCCTCTCATGCTCTCTCTCTCTATCTCATTCTCTCTCTCAAATAAATAAAAAAATCTTTAAAAAAAATTCATTACCTTTTGAGGATTAAAATAGCTCTTTTTTTAAAAAAAGAATTTATTTATTTATTTGACAGAGAGACAGCGAGAGAGGGAACACAAGCAGCGGGAGTGGGAGAGGGAGAAGCAGGCTTCCCGTGGAGCAGGGAGCCTGGTGTGGGGCTTGATCCCAGGATCCTGGGATCATGACCTGAGCTGAAAGCAGACACTTAATGAACGACTGAGCCACCCAGGTGCCCCAATAGTTATTTTTTTAAAAATAAAAGAATATATATTTATCATCAAAGTAATTTGATTTTCCTTAAATGATACAAAATTTTTTTATAGTTTGTTAGAGAAGGTTCAGTTTTTGTCTTTACAGTAGTTTTCATCTTTTTACAGTCCAGTTCCCTCTTTCTCTTTGTCCTCTCTTCTAGGGCTCATAATACAAACACTTTCCAGCAAGAAGTGAAGGAAAGCGTTATCCCAACTGCTCAAACAGTAAGGAGCCGATTTCAGAGACCCAGACCAAACATAAGAAAGACGTCACAGAGGCAAATAGAAAAAGCTGAAGCTGAAGGCATAATTAAGGAAGAAAGAACGATAGTACAAAAAGATGAAATTAAAAAGTTCTTGACTGTGGTGAGTTATTGTTATGTAATTGAGCCTTTTAATGCATGTTAAAATATGAAATGACAGCTCAGACTGGGTTTAGAATATAGGCATCTGACACTCTCATCAATGAATATATAACATACCTAGTTCTGTTCCAGATTTACCATTCTGGATTTTTTTTAGAGTGAAAATAGATTTTTTTCCTAACTAATGAACGTATTCATTATGAAAATGTTCAATTAATACAAAATATCGTAATGACTACCCCAGGCTTATTACCTTGAGGTAATCTCTGAAAACCTTCTGACATATCTTGCTGGGTATATCTCCATGCATGCATATGTGTACACTTATATAAACTTAAATAATAAAATCTCTGGGGCACCTGGCTGGCTCAGGTGGTAGAGCATGCAACTCTTGATCTTTAGGTTGTAAGTTCAAGCCCCACATAGGGTGTAGAGATTACCGAAACATAAAATAATTTTTTTAAATAGTAAAGTCATTGTGTACATGGTATTTTGTGACTTATTTTTTACTTAATATATTAAGTCACTTTTTGTATGTCATAAGTAGGAATTGCTACCAGGTACTTGATGTATGGAGATACATCATTTTTCATTGCTGCATAACATTCTGCTGTTTGACAGTTTAACCAGTCTTTTATTGATGTATCTTTTGGTATAAATCTAAGTAGTGTAATGCCCTTTTCAACAGATCTTGTTTCTTTGTTCTTCTTTTTCTCTGTCTACCAAGGGAAAATCTAGATTGAAAGCGATTGTAATCCTTTTTTGAAACATCCCTATCCCCAGAAGAAATCATTAGACTTTTTGGGAAAAAATCATTAAACATTTTTGGTGGTGGGGTGGGGGCGGTGGTGGGTGTTCACAACAGATAATTATTTAGTTTTTAAAGTGTTCTGTAAACATAATAATTGCAATAATTGAAACTTTCTCTGAATTAGTTTTATTTTGGACAGCAAAACGTGAACATTGCATACCTAGTTTGACTCTTAGTTTTGAAGAACTCAATACCTTTCTAAATGATTGAAATATTTTAGGAGGTGTGTTCAGTTGTTAAAAAAAAAATGGTACTTTTCTTTTGTCATTTTAGCCAAATTCTCCAATTGGAACTGAAATTGAAGTTGTATCCTCCAACGTTTCAGAGTCACAGTATGAAAACCAGAGTCACATGGTTCTTGTAGAACCTCTTCATCTTAACAAAATAAATGTTTTAGATGAAAAGATGAGGTGAGTTTGCTTTTAATCAGAAAAGTGTAAAACTTTCTAAAGATAAAGTTTGGATAACTTGACATCAAGAAAAGTTTGTGGAAGGATAAAGCAATAATTATGAAATAGAATATTTTAAATATGCTTCTTCAAATGCTGTAAGAATTGCATGATTGATATTCTCTTAATTTATAATTTCTGCACAAAGTTTGGTGAGCCTCCTCATTTTTTATTTTAAAACTAAATTTAGGGGCCCCTGGGTGGCTCAGATGGTTAAGCGTCTGCCTTCGGCTCAGGTCATGATCCCAGGGTCCTGGGATCCGGCCCCGCGTCAGGCTCCCTGCTCGGCGGGGAGTCTACTTTTCTCTCTCTCGCTCTACTGTTCAGCCTGCTTGTGCTCTCTCTCTTATTGTCAAATAAATAAATAAAATCTTTAAAAAAAAAACAAAACCAAAATTTAGTAATAGACAGAAGTTCCTAAGTTCTTTGTATATATTATATCCTACTGACTAAAATTCATAAGTAGGAATTGCTACCAGGTACTTAGTATCTGCTGTATTTAGAATTGTGTCCCAAACCAAATGGTAAGAATAGTATCTTTTAAATGAGTTAGACTAGAAAGGTGAAGATATTTCAGTACTCTACCACTTTTATTTATTACTTATAATCTGCTTTATTATTACTGATACTACTTTTTTTAAAAAAAGATTTATTTTAGAGAGAGAGCGAGCCCATGTAGGTGCATGTGTGTGAGTGAGCAGGGAAAGGGGCAGAGGGAGAGGGAGAGAGAATCTCAAGCATTCTCCCCTCTGAGCACCGAGCCCCATGCAGGCCTCAATCTCATGGCCCTGAAATCATGACCCGAGCCAAAATCAGGTGTTGGACTCTTAACCAACTGAGCCACCCAGGCACCTTAATACTACATTTTGATTATCAGTGATCTAAGAATGCTTTATTGCAAGGGTACCACTAGAGAGAAGACCCAAAAGTGAAGGAACAGCAGGCCCAGGGGATGTTTAAGGGGAGAGGGAACAGCAGCTCGAAAGTACTTAAGGAAAGAGCATGCCTGGCTTGTTTGAGGAACCGTGAAGGGAGCTAGTATGAAATGGAGAAAGAGAGGGAGTAGCAGATGCAGGAAAGGGTAAAGGCTGACCAGGGAGAATGGCAGATTATATAGGACCATTGTAAGGAATTTCATTTTGACTCTACTGAGCCTTTAAAGACCAGTGACCTTCAAGGTCAGCCTCTCCTAATGCTCTCATTTATAATTGACTAGTTAGACCAAGAGAATTTGAATGGCTTGTTCAAAATAACATTGGCAAATTAGTTTTTAAACTTAAGTTTTCAGAATTTATGACTTTCAGACTAGCAGATTTGTGTAGTTATATAAGCAGACCTTCCTGAAAGAAACTTTACGTGTTTCAAGAGATTTTATGCTGAACTTTTGTGTTTTTAATGAGAGAAATCAAACTTTTAATTTCTTTATGGAAACCCACACTCCATCCCACCCTACCCCCCCTTTTTTCTTTTGAAAACCCCTTTTCTATTCATGAAATTTATTCCAGCTGTTCACTTTATCATGACTGATACTTTCTTCAGAGTAAAAATCTTTATAAATTAGTTTGTTCCTAAGTCCAGTATTGTCTTGTCCCTTTTTGACTCAAGTAGCACATTAGGTTTATATATGTATTTTATTTTTACTTGCTTTTGTAGAATCACACTTGACTGTAAATAGCTTACATTAAATATAATCTATTTTGCTAAATACATTGGCCTACATTGGAATGTATTTAGCCAGCATCATAACCTTGTTAGGATTTCCTGTTAACTTCCTTGGTGTTTCACTGCCAGAAGAGCTTAGCATAGTTGGAACATTTGGAAATGTAACTAATTTATTAGAAATATTACTTAAGATTAGTCTTTAATATAGATCTTTTAGAGAACTCCTGATAGATACTTATATACCTAATTTTCTTTATAATATCCAGGTTTATATTAGTTTTAAACTTCCCAATTCAGAATTCAGATCCTTGCCAGTTATTAAAATATTTTCCAGGAAAATTTAAGATAGCTCTTCAGGGGTTGTCTTGGGAGCTATACCTACTCTATCGAATGTTAAACCTTGTCTTTTTCTGATTTGGCAGATATAAAATCATTATATTGAGATCCTATGACACTGGCTGTCAGTAAACCCTTTTCCATAAACTGACAGGTCTGTGATGGGAGAATGGACTCTGGCTTTTAAGTCTGGTCTTGAACCAGAAGGATCAAGGATGTTGTGGCCATTGTATATTTGTTCATGCTTCAGAGCCCAGTTGAAGATATTTGTTTAAAGTACCATTATGAAATCCATGTTCAACTACTGGACTTTTTTTTATATCTAGTTATTTCTCCGAAAATGACTTAAAATACCATGACATTACACACCAGAATCAATGAATGAAAGTAAAAAAAGATTAATATTACTGAAAACTATTTTCCAGACTGTACAGAAAATGGAAATTATAAAAGCTTTTACATTCTTTTTATCAGCATGTGTGGTTTCATTTTATGTGCTTGGTTTTAAAGCCAATTTATATATAGTCCTTTGAACATAGTATTGGTTTGTGTTCAAAATTGTTTGATATAACAGCTGTCCTATCAATAAGGAATTCTGATTTTCGTTTTTCATCATGATTTGTACTTCATTCTAGACATGAACCTAAAAGGTCTGTTCCTAGTGCAGCACATTTGGTAAGAAGGCAATTCCAAAAGGCTAAGCCAAATTTGGGAAGAGCACATGGTAAGAAAGAGGAACCAGGCATAGAAAAACACAGAGCAGATCAGAGTGAGGCAAGGAAGCCAGAAGATAATTTGCTGCAGCCAGGAGATTCTGACACTCTTCTCCTTCAAAAAGTAAGTTTGAAAAAAACACTTGTCAATGGGCTCTGTTTTGTCAAGATCATGAAGGAGAGAATTTTAAAAAATACAGTTTTGTCTTTTGTACTGTAACCAATTTTATAAAAATTGAGTGACTTTCTAATATTATTATAAAAAGTTAGAAACCAGTCACTGTGTGTGTGTGTGTGTGTGTGTGTGTGTGTGTGTAAGCTTAGAGCTTTAGGCCCAGCCATTCAACCAAATTATCATAAAGATTGTTTCCATGGTAATATGAGCTGTTTCTTCTTAAATTTAAGGAAAAGGCTGAGTTTCTGACATCTTTGGAGGTTTCAGCAAGAAAAGATTGTGTAGATTCCACAGAGGCCTCTTTGGCCAAAAACAATGCTCATTCAGAAGTTGGACCATCAGGAAGCGTTGGAGAAAAAACTGTAGGGGATAAATCTGTGTCTTCAGTTGCTGAAGAGCAGTGTCTCAGTAAACTATCAAGGTAAAGTTTTATTTAACAAATACTTTCAGAATAAGAAAAATAACATTTTATGGATGTCCTGCCATAACTTATTTGTAGAGTAAAAAGATGGTCTCTTAACAGAAGTGTAGATTGTTAATTGCAGGTCTGTTCCTTTCCCACTTAGGATTTTTATTTGCTAAAGTTTACCTTTTACTGATGTTCTTAGGAAGATTTTTCTTTCCTACAGTTAAAATTTCTGGATGTTGAGTATGTTAGACTTGAGCGGAAGCCTGACCAAAGAGTAGTATCTATTACCTAAGTAATTAAAGTGCTAGTTCAAGTGGGGTCACAAATACAACTGAAGGGTACTCATGTTCTATAGTTTTTAAGGAGAGTGGAAGAGAACTTAAGTTCTAGAAAACAACATTGTTCTGATGGATTTTTTGCCTTCCTTTCTTTATTTTAACCTAGTCTGTTTACCCAGTAGTATCACTTCTTTTTGAGCTCATTTTGTTTTACTGGACCATTTTCCTTTTCTCATTTTCTTCTAATAATTTCCAGTCTTGTATCTCATTTTCACTTAAATAGCAAGGAAAAAATGGCCCAGAATTAACTTCCTCTGAAAAATTTGTAGGTAGATAACTAAGAATGAACTCTGAATAAGAAACTAGTAGTAATAGTACATTTCTTTCTTCATTTCACAGACTAAGTTTTTAACATTATGGGTTGTGGGCATTTTCATTTTAATGGCTTGAAGTTCAATTTCATTCTGAAATTTCCGTTTCATTAAAATATCCTCCTTGTGCATGTAATGACTAAATTGTTATTTTGATTAAACATCCAGCTCTCCACAGCTGTTAAAAGAATCAAATTACTCTAAAATTGGTCTGGATCGAAGAGCAACTGTCTCTTCTGCTTCTGAGTGTGAGGTAGATCACAGTGGAAGGAGAATGCATCGCAAGATGAAACCAAGTGTCACCAGAGGGCGTGGATCAAAACGAGTTCGAAGTAAGACCTCTAAGAAGGAACCTCGAGCTTCCAAGGCCACGCTGGTGACTCTTCGGGCTTCGCAGGAAGAAGATGAAGATGATGAAGATTTTGAGCCTGATTATGAAGATGAAAGTTACCATCTTGCTCCAGAAGAAGTAAACAAAGCTCCAGTGTTTGTTCCCATTGGTCTCAGGTCTCCCGAACCTGTTTCTGCTCAGATCGAGGAAACGATGGAAGAGGTAGTTTGTTTTTTGAATTCTTAGAACTCTGTCTTATTTTTTTCTTTTAGTGTATCATTGTTTCTTCTTAGTGATTATTAAGATTTGAAAAGTTTGTTCTCTAAATAGCCTCTAAGAAATGTAGTTTGTTTGAGGCCTGAGGGATATCTGAAGGAACCAGTAGAAGGAACCTCCTGTGATTATTTAACTCTATGACCCAGGCCCACCATGAGGTCGTCATTGTAATAATAAGGATGGAAATCTAATTTCATTTGTATGTGGAGCCTGCTTAATCTACTTTCTGATTCATTTTTCTTTTTCATTTTGGCAGGTGTTTTCTGTTAACTCTCTGATAGGCTGAGGCTGGTTAGTAGAGAATGTAGAAGGGACATTTTAAAATTTTTTTCTTTTTAAAAATTTTGGTAAAATACACATAAAATTTATCATCTTAGCCATTTTAAGTGTGTAGTTCAGCGGCATTAAGTGCATTCATATTATTGTGCTACACCATCACCACCGTCCATCTACAGAACTTTTTTCGTCTTGCAGAACTAAAACTGTACCCATTAAATGATAGTTTCCCATTACCTCCTCCCCTCTTGCCTATGGCAAACACCATTCTACTTTCGTCTTTATGACATTACTCTAGGTACTTCATATAACTGGAATCATACAGTATCTGTCCTCATTGTAACTGGCTTATTTCATTGAGTATAAAGTTGTTAGGGTTCATCCATATTGAAGCATGTGTCGGAATGGTCTTTTTTTAAGGTCAAATAGTATTTAATCATGTAGTTATACCACATTTTGTTTATCTTTTCATCTGTCAGTGGACAGTTGGGTTGCTTCCACCTTTTGGCTACTATTGCAGAGAGTGCTGCTATGAACATGGGTGTACAAATACCTCTTCTAAACCCTGTTCTCAATTCTTTTGGGGATATACCTCGGTAAATTGTACACCAATTTTTACTCTTTTGAAAAACCGCCATACTGTTTCCATAGCAGTTGTATCATTTTACTTTCCTATCAGTAGTGTACAAGAGTTCTGATTTCTCCACATTCTCACCAGCCCTTTTATTTATTTTTCAGAATAGCCATCCTAATGGACAGGAGGTGGAGGAACATAATATTTCAACTTACTTTGTTATAAGAGCTCCTTTTTTGCCTCTTGGTCTAGTATTCCAGCTTTGTTTCTGCCTCAATTTTCAGTAATTCACTTGGCTTAAAGAGCAGCACAACTGCATCTCTTTTGTATTAAGCATTTGTGATTGTTTCTGAGTCATTTGCAACAGAATTAGGAATTAACTGAGGTAGTAGTGATGATAATAACGAAAGAAGTAGGAAACTTAAACCAATTCAAGTAATGTTGAATCCAGAATTAATGGATTATTGAATCTGTGACTTCACATTTATGATGAATGGAAGTCCACAACCACCTTTATTTATTCACTGTTAATAATCACATACTAGATGATATAAAGTCAATGAGTTAGAATGGTTGAAATTAAATAAAAATGATGCAAAATGAAATTTCTTATAACTGAAAGTTCAAAGTTGAAGATAGTGAATTTACGTTTTATTTGAAACCAAGAAAATGCAAAAGGAAAGTTAATTTTTTTGCAAGGACACCTGGTTAACACTGAATGAGAATTCATTTAGCTATATGTTTTGTATTTTACTAATTCCGTTGGTTGAAAGGCACATTGTTAAGTGAAAGAAGTCAGTTGCAAAAGAATCACATAATCACATAATTATCCATTCGTATGAAATGTCTCAAACAGGAAAATCTGTAGAGACAGAAAGTAGATTAGTGGTTTGGCTAGGGATTTGGAGATGAGGGGTTAAGAGAGTGATAACTAATGGATATGGGGTTCATTTTTGAAGTGATGAAAATGTTCTAAAAGTGACTGTGGTGATGGTTACACATATCTGCATATTCTAAAAACATCAAATTATATACTTTACATGGGTGAATTCTTGGTATGTAAGTCGTTATTTCGGTAAAGCTGTTTTAAAAAAAAAATAAAGCTTTGAAACTGGATAGTGCCAACTTTCGAATATCTACAGTATTTCCATTTGTCATCCATTCCCAACTCTTCAGAAAATACTTTGTTTTTTCAAGTCACTTTAACTTTCTCATTCATCCCTGGCCTATAGGATAGTAGCAAAGATTTTTCTCTAATATTTGCTTCTGAGAAAACAGATACAGAGTGCACAAGTGTTACTATAGTAATTATATCATGAAGGCAGATTTTCATACTTGACTCTTTACTCAGTTTCTATTGAATCATAGTTTTTTATACTTACCTGTCTGTAAATAAGGGACTAGAAGCCAGATTGTCTTGTGTATGGTCTAGGAGATAAATCTTAGTCCTTTAGTCCCCAGATCATAGGGATCTATGACCAAAAAGACTACTACATGAGTAAATGTGAATGAATTCAGTTTTTTACATGTCCATTGCCATGGCTATCATGGGGTTGTGGGAGAGGGTAGTTGCCTTGGTGCACGGGCGGACGTACGGTAAATCTTTTTAAAGTGCTTTCAACTCCTCTTTATTACAGCACTGAAGATGGTGTATAGTTAGAAAATTGCATGTCTGTTTTTGTGAGATTGTGAATTCCTTGAGGGCAGGGACCAAACTTGCCTTATTTCAGCTTTGTATCCTTGTATCTGTAGCCTAGTTTTTAGGAAGCACTCCATAAATATTCACAGATTGATGAGAGAAATTATGGGAACATAGAGACAAAGTGGGGATAGTAGAAAGTGAAAGGCTAGGTACTAAGAAGATTACTTTGGAAATTCTGTTTACTATTTGTAAGGATCACAGACCCCTCAAAGCTTAAATGTTTTACTTTGCCAAGTTGATGTTGAGTTACTATATTTCAGTTTTTAATTGTGTATGAATGTGGGTTGTTTATTCAGTTTAACACTCTATTTTACGTAGTCATTTTGTTTTACTGACTGTAGTATGCCAAAATGAAATAATGAAACTTCTCATTTTGACAGCTTGAAATAACTGTGAATGTACCAGATATAGGCATAGCTGTTGTTGAACATCCACTCTCAAACACAGATGTGACTACTCAGGAGATGAAACAAGAAGAAAATTTGAAGGCATTATCTGTTGTAAGCATCCATTGTAATATGTTTTGTTTTTAACTCTTTGTTTACTTACAAAAGAATGGAGGTTTATTTTGAAAGCTTTAAGTTTACAAGCCATTCTTACTAATTTCTTTCATGTAGGGAGCTGTAAGTATGAATAGTAGAAACTGGTGAATAATCCATAGATTTTGTATTTCACTTGGAAAGCATTGATTTTTGTGTGTGTGTGTGTGAATAACTCTTAAGATCCTCATAAACTTATGTTAAAGTTCTGTTGCATTAAATCGATATTGAATATAAGTTACTTAAAATATATTTAGTTGCATTTTGTTTGGTACTCTTCCTTATTTGGTTAGTTTTTCTCTTGTTTTTGGATAAGAAGATTGGGAATTATACTTTTTCAACAACTTTATTTTTTTTTAATTTTTTGTTTTTTTAAAGAAGATTTTATTTATTTGAGAGAGAGCGAGGGAGGGAGAGAGAGCACAGAGGGAGAGGGGGACTCCCCGCTGAGCAGAGAGCCCAAAGCGGGGCGTGATCCCAGGACCCTGGATCATGACCTGAGTCGAAGGCAGATGCTTAACTGACTGAGCCACCCAGGTGCCCCTTTTAACAACTTTATTAAGATATAGCTCACACACCAAATAAGTCACCCACTGAAAATGTACAATTCATTGGTTTCTGCTATATTTATAGATATTGTGCAGTCATTGTAACAGTCAATTTTAGAGCATTTTCGTCACCTCAAAAAGAAACCTTATGTCCCAAAGCAGTTGCTCCCCATTTCCTCTCAGCCCTCCCCAGGGTTAGGTAACCAGTAATCTACTTTTTGTCTCTATAGATTTGTCTATTCTGGATGTTTCATATAAATTGACTCATACAGTATGGTCTTTTATGCCTGGCTTTTTTCACTTAGCATACTCTTTTCAAGGTTCATCCACGTTCTAGCATGTATCAGTACTTCATTCTTTTTGTGGTCACTTAACAGTCCATGTAGACAATACTGCGTTTTGTTTATCTGTTCATGTGTTCATGGACATTTATGTTGTTTCCATCTTTTGGCTATTATAAATAATGCTGCTGTAAACATTTGTATACAAGCTTCTGTACTGACATTTTTTTTTTTTTTAAAGATTTTTATTTGTTTATTTGACAGAGACACAGCGAGAGAGGGAACATAAGCAGGGGGAGTGGGAGAGGGAGAAGCAGGCTTCCCACCGAGCAGGGAGCCCGATGTGGGGCTCGATCCCAGGACCCTGGGATCATGACCTGAGCCAAAGGTAGACGCTTAATGACTGAGCCACCCAGGCGCCCCAAAATACAATTGATTTTTGATTATTGGTCTTGTGTAGTGCAACTTTGCTGAACTCTTTAGTTCTTTTTTTTTTTTTGAATTTAGCTTTTATTCAGAATTAAATAAGCAAAAGTTTAAGAAACTTTTATAAAGTACTTACATAAAAGAAAGTTAATAGTGACAGTTTGCAACAAATAATTACAAAAGTATCTAGGGCAGCATGAATATAAACCATGTCACAGCATGGTGATCTAGCTGTGATAGTTAGGCATAACTAACATTTGCACCAAGACCAGAATTAAAAAATAAAACATACTTTTTTTTTTTTAAGATTTTATTTATTTATTTGAGAGAGAAAGAATGAGAGAGAGCATGAGAGGGAGGAAGGTCAGAGGGAGAAGCAGACTCCCTGCTGAGCAGGGAGCCTGATGCGGACTCGATCCTGGGACTCCAGGATCATGACCTGAGCTGAAGGCAGTCGCTTAACCAACTGAGCCACCCAGGTGCCCCTAAAATATACTTTAAAAGCTTAGTTCTACATTAAGCTTCTTTTCTTCCCCCAGATCCTTAATGGGTTTATACTCTGTAATTGTTTTAAACAAACACATCATGTCAAACTGTAAATTATATAGATTGGCAGTTAATGTGAAAAGCCTTCTAAAATGTACAAACTAACTGGTACTGAATTGTGAGCTCTTTAGTTCTAATAGTTTTTTTTTTTTTTAGTGGATTCCTTAGGATTTCTACGCATAAGATCATGACATGTGAATAGAGACAAATTACTTCTGCCTTTCTGTATTAGTTTCTCAGTGCTGCTGTAACAAAATTCCACGAACTAGGTAGCTCAAAATTACAGAAAGTTTTTTTTTTTATAGTTCTGGGGCTAGAATTCCAAAATCAAGGTGCCACCTTCTGGAGGCTCTTAGGGAAAAACCATTCAGGCCTTTCTCCTACCTTCTGGCAGTTGTCAGCAGTCCTTGTCATTCCTTGGCTTGTGGCAGCGCATTTCCAATTTCTGCCTCCATTGCCACATGGTGATCTCCCTGTATGTGTGTCTCTGTGACCTTTTTCTTTTTTTTTTTTAAAGATTTTATTTATTCATTTGACAGAGATAGATATAGCGAGAGAGGGAACACAAGCAGGGAGTGGGAGAGGGGGAAGCAGGCCTCCCGTGGAGCGAGGAGCCTGATGCGGGGCTCGATCCCAGGACCCTGGGATCATGACCCGAGCCGAAGGCAGACGCTTAACGACTGAGCCACCCAGGTGCCCCTGTGACTTTTTTCTTTTAAAGACACCTGTCATAGTGGATAGGGCCAACCCTAATCCAGTATGACTTTCTCTTAACTTTATTACATCTAAAAAGGCCCTATTTCCAAATTACATTCATGGTACTGGGGTTAGGAATTCAACATATCTTTCTGGGTGACAGAATTCAGTGTACAACACTTTTCCTTTTTTTTTTTTTTTTTTAAAGATTTTATTTATTTGACAGAGCACAAGCAGGGGGAGCGGCAGGCAGAGGGAGAGGGAGAAGTAGGTTCCCCACTGAGCAAGGAACCTGATGTGGGGCTGGATCCCAGGACCTTGGGATCATGACCTGAGCCGAAGGCAGACGCGTAACTGACTGAGCCACCCAGGCGCCCCAGTTTACAATACTTTTCAATCTGGATGTCTTTTATTTCTATTGCTTGCCAAATTGCCCTTGCTAGAACCTCCAGTACACTGGTGAACAAGAGTGGCAAGAGTGAGCATTTTTGTCTCATTACTGGTCTTAGAGGAAAGTATCCAGTCTTTTACCATTAAGTTTGATGTTAGCTGTGGACTTTTCATAGATGTTTTATTTTTATCGAATTGAAGAAGTTCTAGTCTTTTCCTAGTTTGCGTGACAGTATTATCATGAAAGGGTGTTGGAAGTTGTCATACGCTTTTTCTGCATCTATTGAGATGATCAGGTGATTTTACCTTTTTATTGTATTGATATGATGTATTACATTGAATTTTGATGTTAAATAAAAAATTACATCCCTGGGATAAATCCTACTTGGCTGTGGCCTGCAATTTTTATATGTTGCTGGATTTGGTTTGCTGGTATTTTATTGAGTTTTTTTTTTATGTGCAAGTTCATAATAATTCTATTTTTGATTACAAATCTGACACCAAATTCTTGTGGTGTCAGGAGCTGAAGTTCTGTTCTTCCTAGGAAGAAAGCCCTGCAGCTGGGGCTGGTAAGGAGAAAAGACCCTATTTTCTTGGTTGCAGGTTCTGAGGTGGGGTCTCTGCTTCCCTGAGCTGAGAAGAAGGAGGGGGAGAGAGCAGTCTTAGTTCAAATACCACAGGCTCTCCGCTTTGTTACTGTATTTTCATCAGTTTTCTCAAAAAGATGTTTCTTTCGCCCTAGGTCCATTTCCAGAGGCTTTACATGTAATGTTTGTGTTTAATAGGGTCAGCAGAGCTCCTTATGATGTCATATTGGACATAAATCTTATAACTTCTTCATTTGTTAAAATTCATTTACGTTTTCACTAACCTAATGTAAAAAATTGGCAGTATTCTTCAGTCTTTGGTTTCCACTGGTTTAAAACTATGGCAGATATGACTGAAGTTGAAGGATTATGAAAGTGAAGAAGTAAATTAAGAACGGTAGGTGCACATGGTAAATGCTATATGATTAGAGTTAAAAATTTGCATGTCATACAAGGAAAAGGTAAAATAAGGAGCAAGAGACAAAATAACTTGGCTTTTAAATTATTTCTGTATGAAATGTTAATGAATAATTGTATAGGGAAAAAACAGTTTCCACTCCTTTGTAATCAAAACATTGAGGAACTGTAAAACATCATGGTTTTTGAGACACAGAACATATATTTGGGAAAATACATAAGACATTGCTTATTTTTCCTCTTTTAGGAAATGAACACAGGTGAACATACCCAAGATGAAACAGGTAACTGTTAATAAGGAAACTGCTAAAACTACTTAGTTAACACTAACAAAGTGATTCAGTATTGGTGTTAGTTAGCAAATGAGTAATTTCACTGGAGAGTTGAACAAAAAGTTTTAACTGTTGAATGTGTTATCTCCAGGAGAAACTTGGATTCTTGGAATAATTACCTTTTGAAGTGAGTTAAGAGTTAAATGTTTAATAAAGAAATTTTACTTATTTCCTCTCCTCTGATTTGCACAGATATATTTTCTTTGAAGGTATTAAGTTATTTAATAGGAGGGAGGCATTTTCAGTGAGTAAAAGCTAACAATGATTTCTTTTTTTGTAGTAACCAAACACTGCTCTAGTGAGGAATTAGTGGTATGCAGGACATTGAAACTTGTTCCAAAGGATAAATACTTGAATTAAAAATGTTTTCTAAGTAAGCAAACTTCAATTTCCAGCTTCATTTTTCTGTTTTAATGTTGGTATATTTCCTCACAAGGTACCAATGATGGAAGCACTGAAGCTGCTATAACTTTACTTACAATGGGAGATCTAGTGTTGCAATCAGAGATCGGTACAGAACAGAGTGATGGTAAGAATGAAAGTTAAGTCCTACTGGAAAAAACCTCTTAAAATACAACTTTTAAGAAATTATACCCACAGTTGAGTAATAAGTCAGTACCGGCCTTTTACATTTGAAGTAGGCATTGCCAACTTTGTTTTTGTCCAGAGAAAGGTAACATGTGTGCATTGTTCCGTCTAACTTAGTCCTTTTAGATGTAGTGGCCACCATCTCAAAATAGTGCACTTGGTTTATTAAGAAAACTTTGTATTCCTGGAATGATCTAGTGAGTCCTTTACTTTTCTCATCATAAACATTGGTTACCTGAGCTCATTGATCACTGATCACTTGACACATATTTCTTTAGCAAAGGAGCTTCTGCTTTGGATTGTCTTCACAGTTAACCTGATAATCGCATATAGTATGAAGGGACAATAGCAGTCATTGAACTAATTTAATTGCGACTATTCTGTTAGTTTGGACTGAGCCAAAAGATAGGTCAACCTAGATTTTCACAGTATTTTAGGCTGACCTTATGGAATACCTTCCATTTTAAGTCTACTAAATGGATAGTTAATTATATTCCTGTTAATTATTTTGTCTGGAGATGAGTGGCCTGCCATTTATTTTAGGTGTTAGACTTCTAGGCCCATAACTATATATTTATCAGGAAATTTTTTTTTTATTATGTTATATTAGTCCCCATACAGTAAATTTTCTGGTCTGTGTTCCTTACACAGTCTCATTTCTCTCTCTCTCTCTCTCGCGCTCTCTCTTTTTTTTTTGAGTAAAATATATACCCAGTGAGGGGCTTGAACTCATGACCCCAAGATCAAGAGTCACATGTTCTACTGACTGAGCCAGGCAGGTGCCTGAATACGGCTCCTTTCTCAATGGCAGAGGATTGCTTTGGAGCCTGTCATAAATCTCTAGTACATAAAAATGGGTTTTAAAAATTTGTAAATGAAGGTGATCCTGTCTTGAAACTCATTTGAGGCTATGTAGTTAGTCAAGGTAACAGATTCATTTTTACTTTTTTTTTTTTTAAATTTTATTTATGTATTTTTCAGAGAGAGCACAAGCAGGGAGAGCACAGGCAGAGGGAGAGGCAGGCTCCCCGCTGAGCAGGGAGCCCGAAGCGGGACATGATCCCAGGACTCTGGGATCATGACTTGGGCCAAAGGCAGATGCCCAACTGACTGAGCCACCCAGGCATCCCTCATTTTTATTTCTAATAGCAGAAAAATTCTAGTCTGTAAGAATTATTAGGCTTAGAACAAGTCAGATCTCTGGCATAAACTATATGATCATATATTTATTTATTTTTTTAAGATTTTTGAGAGAGAGAGAGCACACACATGAGTGGGGGGGAGGGGCAGAGGGAGAAGCAGACTCCCTGCTGGGCAGGGAGCCCACTGTGGGGCTCAATCCCAGGGCCCTGAGATCATGACCTTTAACCGACTGAGCCATCCAGGCGCCCTGATCATATATTTAAATTCAGAACCAAAAAGTAAACTTTAAAAATAATATAGAATTTTACAGTTGTTTAATGTTGAGGGATTTATTTTCTTTGGACATCTACTTGTATTGGGTCAATTTTAATTTTCTGTTCTTTTCTGTAATAGGAGTATGTGTACTTCTTGATGTTCATTCAAAGGATAAAAGCTGTGTTCCTTTTAGCCCAGATAATGTAAATCACAAAATTGTTCGTGAATGTCAGGAGCTTTCTTCACCTGTCAATAGTACATCTCCTTCTTCATTAGAAGAAAACAAGATTGTATTGGAAGAGCAAAGTACTAAAGAAGAAATTGGTTTAGTGGAGAAAGTAAAGGAAAACGCTGTATCAACCAGGTTTATTTTGCTTTATTAAACTCTTGAGTTTTATAGTACTCAATTAATAAATACATTTAAACCAACTATCAATTTAGTTGATAGCTTTTGAGTAATACTTGTGTAAGTGTAAAGTAGGCACTGCTAATTTCTCAGCGTTTATTTTTTTAAAGATTTTATTTATTTGAGAGAGAGTGTGAGCAAGAGAGAGAGAGAAGGAGCAGGGGGAGGGGCAGAGGGAGAGAGAGAAGCAGATTCCCTGCTGAGCAGGGAGCCTGACATGGGGCTCAATCCTTGGACTCTGGGATCATGACCTCAGCAGAAGGCAGACACTTAACTGACTGAGCCACCCAGGTGCTCCAGTTTCTCAGCCTTCAAAGTGAGGATAGGCTGGTTTGATTTTAGATTAATGGTTTGCTTTTTTTTTTTTTTTTAAAGATTTTATTTATTTATTTGTGAGAGAGAGTGAGCATGAGCATGGGGAGGGGCAGAGGAAGAGGGATAAGCAGACTCCTCACTGAGCAGAGAGCCTGACATGAGGCTCAATCCTAGGACCTTGGGATCATGACCTGAGCTAAAGGCAGACACTTAACTGACTGAGCCACCTAGTTGCCCGTGGTTTGCATTTTTTTTTTTTAATTTACTTTTTTAATATATACTCAACACCCAACATGGGGCTTGAACTCAGGATCCTGAGATCAAGAGCCACATCCTCTACTCACTGAGCCAGCCAGGTGCCCCTAATGGTTTGCATATTAAAGTAAATGTAATATGTGCATCTTTGAAGCTTTAATGAAATAGTTTTTTATGTAAATATGGTCGCTATTTTACAAACATGGTCCAGATTCTCTTCCCTTCTCTAGACTGTCAGTAAAATTTACCACTCTGTGTTTTCAGCATTAAAAAATGAACACTTACAGATATTGTGGCACCTGAGAAGGTGGCACATAACTGTATCAGAATGTATGAAGGTGAGATAGATATTACATGGTTGATGAATTTCTTTCTTCCCGTCTTTTTCTAGGAATACAACTTCTGAAGTGACTGGTAATTTGAGAATGAGAAGTAGATTTGCCAAGCCTAAACCAAATCTTAAGACTTCAGGGACCAACAGGTTTGGTGTTCATCAGGAAGTTCCCAGTGTGTTTGTAAACAAAGGAGAAGTAGTAGAAAGTCAAAGAGGTAAATTATGTTCCCTTGAACAACTACAAAATTACTTTTACAGGAGAAGTTGCATTTGCATTTCAAATGGAATATTCAGTTAAAATTGTTTTAATTTAGTATTAAAGAGTTTCAAAAAGTAGAATGGGCTATAAAAGAAATACCAATAAATCCGTCAACTAGCTTCAGTCATCATTATTATTTTCTATTTAGTTGACCCAAAATAACATGGGTTTGAACTGCGTGGGTCCACTGTACATGGAGTTTTAAAAAAGAATTAAGAGCCGAAGAGGGGACGGCGAGTGGGGAGGGAGAGCGAGAATTCCAAGCTGACTCCCTGCTGCGCGTGGAGCTTGATGCGGGGCTTGATTTTGACCCTGAGATCATGACCCAAGCTGAAATCAAGGGTTGGACGCTTAACCAACTCAGCCACCCAGGTGCCCCTATACAATGGATTTTTTTTTTCTTTTTAACTTTTTTTTTTAAATAATTTTTTATTGTTATGTTAACCACCATACATTACATCATTAGTTTTTGATTAACTTTTAAAATATGTTTTATTTGGAAATAATTTCAAAGTTACAGAAAACTTACAAGAATAAGAAATAGTACAAAGAACATCCAGATACCTCTTGTATATAAGCTTACGCTTAATTATAAATGGAATTTTTTTTATAAATGTAGTACAGTCCTATAAATGTATTTTCTCTTCCTTATGATTTTCTTTTCTTTTTTTAAAATATTTATTTGAGAGAGAGGGAGACTGAGAGGGAGAAGCAGACTCCCCGCTGAGCAGGTAGCCCCATGCAGGGCTTGATCCTAGGACCCTGAGATCATGACCTGAGCCAAAGGCAGATGCTTAACCAACTGAGCTACTCGGGCGTCTCTTCCTTAATGATTTTAATAACATTTTATTTGTTCTAGGTTACTTTATTGTAAGAATACAGTATCTAATACATGTAACTTACAAAATATATGTTAATCTGTTTATGTCACCAGTAAGGCATCTGGTCAACAGTAGACTATTAGTAGTTAGGTTTTTTTGGGAATCGGATATGCAGAATTTCTACTGCATGGAAAGTTTGTGCCCTTAACCCCCATGTTGTTCAAGGGTTAACTGTATTTACTTAACGTTTTCTTCATAGGTATTTTTTATGTGTGTGTACATGAATATTCAAGCAAACATTTTTTAGAAAGCTATACGTGCATGTGGCAAAAAATAAGACATTGCCCATAAGGTATAAAATTTAATAAACTTCTTTGGTTTCCAGTCCCCTAATCTCATGTCTAGTGGTAAACTGCCATTAAGTTTTTATTGTGGACTTCCAGAAGTGTTTTATAAACATAAGCATCTAAATGTGGGGCTGTGTGTGTACATAGATACATCAATACACACACACACACACACGTATATAAATACATGTTACTACTTTCAGAAAGAACAAAATTATAAGCAAACTATATCATATATACTGTTTAGCACATTTATTTATTTACTTATTTTTTAAGATTGTTTGAGAGAGAGAGTACCTCGTAGAGAGGGAGAGGAAGAGAGAGTTGCAAGCCGACTCTGGGCTGAGCCTGGAGCCCCATGCAGGGCTTGATTCCATGACCCTGAGATCATGACCTGGGCTGAAACCAAGAGTCGGATGCTTAACCTACTGCGTTAAGTAGGCGCCCCTCGTTCAGTACTTTTAAAAATAACAGTTTTAGGGCGCCTGGGTGGCTCAGTTGGTTAAGGCTCAGGTCATGATCCTGGAGTCCTAGGATCGAGTCCCACATCGTGCTCCCTGCTCAGCAGGGAGTCTGCTTCTCCCTCTGACCCTCTTCCCTCTCGTGCTCTCTATCTCTCATTCTCTCTCTCTCAAATAAATAAATAAAATCTTAAAAAAAAAACTAATACATGTAACGAAATAATTCTGTACCATACAGTTAACCCATTTGAGGTGTATACTTGAGTGGCATTTAGTATATTCCTCAAGTTGTGTAACCTTCACCATTAGTAGCCACTTCCCACATCCTTCAACCCTTCCCAGCCCTAGGCAACCACTAATCTACTTTTGTCTCTGTAGCTTTGCCTATTTTGGACGTTTCATATGGATGGAATCATATAATATGTGGCCTTTTGTATCTGGTTTCTTTTAGCATGTTTTCAAGGCTCATCTATGTTGTAGCATGTGTCAAATATTTCTTTTTCTTGCCAAATATTCCATCATACTACATTTTGTTTATGCATCCAGGGCATTTAGGTTGTTTTCTCTTTTTTGGCTGTTTTAAGTAATGGTGCTAAGAACATTCATATGTAAGATTTTGTGTGGACATAAGTTTTCATTTGTCTTGGATTTACATTTACAAGTGGAATTGCTGGAATATATGGTAATTCTGTGTTTAACTTTTTGAGGAACTACCAAACTGTTTCAAAAGTGGTAGCAACATGGGACGCCTGGGTGTCTCAGTCGGTTAAGCGTCTGCCTTCGGCTCAGGTCATGATCCCAGGGTCCTGGGATCATGTCCCACATCGGGCTCCCTGCTCAGCGGGGAGCCTGCTTCTCCCTCTGCCTGCCGCTCCCCCTGCTTGTGCTCTTTCTGTCTCTCTCTCTCTCTGACAAATAAATAAATAAAATCTTTAAAAAAAAAAAAAGTGGTAGTAACATTTTGTATTTTCTTTTGTTTTCTTTTTTTTTTTTTAAGATTTTTGTGTGTTTGTTTTGTTTTATTTTTAAGTAATCTCTGTACCCAGAGATCAAGAGTCACATGCTCTACCAACTGAGCCATCCAGGTGGTCCAACGTTGTGTCTTTTCACCAACATTCTGTGAGGGTTTTAGTTTCTCTGTATCCTCTCTGACTCTTGTTATTAGATAGTCTAGTTAGCTTGAAGTGGTATCTCCTGATTTGGATTTTTATTTCTTTCATGACCAATGATACTGAGTATCTTTTCATGGCTTATTTATATATTTTATTTAGAAACATGTGTTCATGTCTGTGCTCATTTTTTTTTAATTTTGTTTTATTTTTTTCTAAGTAGGCTCCATGCCCAGCGTGGAGCCCAACGCGGGGCTTGAACTCACGACCCTGAGATCAAGACCTGAGCTGAGATCAAGAGTCGGATACTTAACCGACTGAGCCACCCAGGTGCCCCAATCTGTGCTCATTTTTAAATTGGGATACTTGTTTTTTTATTATTGAGTTCTTTATATAGTAGCACTCGGTTTTTAAAGATTTCATTTATTTATTTGAGAGTGAGGGAGGGAGAGAGAGCACAGAGGGAGAAGCAGACTCCCTGCTGAGCAGAGAGCCTGACATGGGACTCAATCCCAGGACCCTGAGATTATGACCTGAGCCAAAGGCAGACACTTAACGGACTGAGCCATCTAGGTGCCCCAGTAGCACTCTGTTTTTAAAGATTAGTATATTGAAAAAAATCTTTCTATATGATTACATACTGTTCTCTTTCGTTTTTTTAATGGCCTCACTAGATTGTGCTATACATGTTGAATCCTACTCCTACTTTTCCACCTCCCCTCCCTGTTAAGGGCCCAGCCCCTTCACATGCTAGTAAGAGCGGGAAAAACAGTGTACGTAGTAGGCTGTCTAGATTGTCTTAAGCCCTATAGATAGACGATCTGGATAGTTAGCATCATCTTTGCTGTGTTTTGGGGTTCCTGATTTCCGGGATTTCCTTTCAACCAGCAATGCTTATGATTCAGTTAGTTAATTTACTCTGAGTTCAGAAATACCCAGAAGCTATTTCAGTGTGCAGGCTGAAGTTACCTTTTTTATTTTTATTAAAAATTTGTTTTTATTTGAGTGTGGTTGACACACAGTGTTACATTAGTTTCAGGTATACAGCATAGTGATTGAACGAGTTTGTACATTGTGCTGTGCTCACCACAAGTAGAGTTGCCATTTGTCACTATATAATGCTATTACAATACCATTGAGTATTCCTTATGCTGTGCCTTTTATTCCCATGACTTATTCATTCCATAACTGGAAGCCTGTATCTCCCTCTCTCCTCCCACTTTGTCTATCCTCCTACTCCCTCCCCTCTGGAAGCCATCAGTTTGTTCTTTGTATTTATAGGTCTGATTGTGCTCTTTGTTTATTCATTTGCTTTCTTAAGATTCCATATATGAGTGAAATCATATGGTATTTGTCTCTCTCTGTTTGACTTAACTTCACTTAACATAATACCTTCTAGGTCCATCCATGTTGTCACAAACAGCCCAATCTCAACCTTTTAATGGCATTGTCATATTCCATTGTGTGTATCACATCTTCCTTATGCATTCATGTACTGATGGACACTTAGGTTGCTTCCATATCTTGACTATTGTAAATAATGCTGCAGTAAATATCAGGGTGGTACATATATCTTTTGAATTAGTGTTTTCATTTTCTTTGTATAAATACCTAGTACTGGAATTTATTCAACCATATGGAATTTTTATTTTTAATTTTTGGAAAAACATCCCTACTGTTTTCTTCAGTGGCTGCACCAATTTACATTCCTACCATTAGTGCACAAGTGTTCCTTTTTCTTTATATCCTTATTAACACTTGTTATTTCTTCTTCTTTTTCTTTTTTTTTTGTATTTAGCCATTTTGGTTGTGATATCTTGTGGTTTTGATTTGCATTTCTCTGATGATTAGTTATGTTGAGCATCTTTTCATATGTCAGTTGTTCATCTGTATATCTTCTTTTGAAGAACGTCTGTGCAGGTCCTGTGCCCCTTTTTTTGTTTTTTTGTTTTTTTGTTTTTTTTTAAATAGGCTCCGTGCCCAGCATGGAGCCCAGTGCAGGGCTTGAACTCATGACCCTGAGATCAAGACCTGAACTGAGATCAGGGGTCAGACATTTAACTAACTGAGCCACCCAGGCACCCCATCTGTGCCCATTTTAATCGGATTGTTTTGTTTTTTGATGTTATATAAATTCTTTATATATTTTGGATACAAACTCCTTATCAGATGTATCATTTGCAAATATTTTCTCCTAATCAGTAGGTTGCCTTTTCATTTTGTGGATGGTTTCCTTTGCTGTGTAAAGCTTTTTATTTTGATGTAGTCCCAATAGTTTATTTTTGCTTTTGTTTCCCTTGCCTATGGAGACATATCTAGAAAGATGTTGCTACAGCTGATGTCAGAGAAATTATTGCCTGTGTTTTTTTCTAGGATTTTTATGGTTTGGTCTCACATTTAGATCTCTAATCCATATTGAGTTTAGTCTTTGTATATGGAGTTAGAAAGTCGTCCAGTTTCATTCTTTGGCATGTAGCTGTCCAGTTTTCCCAGCACCATTTATTGAAGAGAATGTCTTTTACCCATTGTATATTCTTGCCTCCTTTGTCCTAGATTAATTGACCATATAAGTGTGGATTTATTTCTGGACTCTATTTTCTTCCATTGATCTGTTTTTGTGCCAGTACAGTATTGTTTTGATTACTGTAGTTTTATAGTAGATCTTGAAATCTGGAATTGTGATACCTCTTACCTTTGTTTTTCTTTCTCAGGATTACTTTGACTCTTCAGAGTCTTTTTGGTGGTTCCATACAAATTTTAGTATTATTTGGTCTAGTTTTGTGATAAATGCTGTTGGTATTTTGAGAGCGATTTGAAGGTAACTCTTTTTATGTAGAGGTCATTTTTTTCTTCTTTGTGATATTCTTTTTAGAATAGCTCCCTCCCCAACTTTGCCCAAGGTGGAACTAGCCAGACCTCATGTGTACCCACTTCTAAACTTTTTCTGTAAATGGGGTTGTAATTACACTGCCGTCACCATCGAGTGGACATAAAACTGTGGCAGCCACAAGTGAAATATGTGCAGTGTAGGATTCGTTAATCATTTGCATCAAAAATCTCATTGGCCAGGACCACTCTTCTGCCATGTGAATAAGCTTGATTTTTGGATTAAGAGAAATTTGGAAGAGCCACTATATAGTGATCTGTCTTTGAAGAGAGAACATATTTCTAATATGGCAGTTTTAGCTGTACTGTTTTGAACTATATCTTAAGTGTGTTCTTTGTTTAAGAAACTGAGAAAAATGCTTCTGAAGCAACGGAATTACAAGATGAAAACCTTGGATCACTTACAACAGCAGGGAATAAGGAGCAGAGTAAATTGGCTTGTGAGCATGGTATTGAAGAGACTATTTCTCAAGAAGCAAATCTAACTGAAAGGTAAAAGAGAGATTCTGGGATTTGGGTTATATTCTGTTTCAACTATAGTCATTAGCTATAACTGTAAGAATTTGATTGGAAAAAGGGGGTTCTGTTGCATTAAATATATTTTAGAAATTTGAACACCATTAAATCTTAGTCTCACTTAGCTCTAAACATTACTCTGTAGTTGTCCACTTGGTTTCAGTATAGAACTTTAATACATACTCTGAAACTCGAATATATACTAATTTCTTTTTCAGAAATGATGATCAAGAAGAAGAATCTCAAAAGGTTCAGATATCGTCAGTTGATCCAGTTGTTTCCTTTGAGACAAGGCCCCATACACTTGGTTCAGATATGGTTCTCAGTGAGAGTTCCATCAAAGAGCCCCAGAGAAAGGACTGTAATGGAGACAGTGTGCTTGCACTTCATGTGTCAGAGGTAAAAGAATATAAAATATAACATGGGGTGTCTGGGTGTTTATTCCCTGTTTAAAAAAAATTAAGGTAGGATTTACATAAAATAAACTTCACCTTTTTCAGTGTGTACTTCTACAAGTTGTGACAAACATATATAGTCATGTAAGCAACACATAAACAGTTCCATCATCCCCAGATTCCCCAGGGCCCTTTTTTAGTCACCCCCCTTACCACCCCGACTACTTGGCAATCCCTGATCTGTTTTCTTTCCCTATAGTTTTGCCTTTGCAAGAATGTATTATGATAGAATTTTTTATTGAGTGTGTTTTTAGTCTTTGGAGCATAGATAAAACAGCCAATACGTAGCTTTGCTGTGAAAGTTTTGAAAAAGGAAGTGTTTTGTACAGAGTATTTACCTCTTGCTTGCTGGCCACTGAATCTGAGAAATACTTTCACATTGCAGGTATTTTTATTACTACATGTTCAATACTGTGTAAGGTACTGGGGGGACAAAGTTGTAGGAAACAGTTGAGGATATGAATGGTTAAATTCTGAAGGCAAGTTGCACAAGACTCTTAATAAAGGAGTGGTCTTCAACCCAATCCAGTAAAATCAGCCTCTGGAAATAGGGTGTAGACATTTGCTTTCTGTTGTTGTTGTTAAAATTCCTCAGGTTGGGGCGCCTGGGTGGCTCAGTCGTTAAGCGTCTGCCTTCAGCTCAGGTCATGATCCCAGGGTCCTGGGATCGAGCCCCGCATCAGGCTCCCTGCTCAGCGGGAAGCCTCCTTCTCCCTTTCCCACTCCCCCTGCTTGTGTTCCCTCTCTTGCTGTGTCTCTCTCTGTCAAATAAATAAATAAATAATAAAATCTTAAAATAAACAAATAAATAAATAAGTTCCTCAGGTTATTCTGATGTGTAGCCAGGACTAAAAAAGTCCTCGATCTAGAAGAACAGGTAAATTAACCAGTTAAAGGGAGAGAAACATGTGTAAAGAATAAGTGTGAAACAGCATTTCATATTCAGGGACTAAGTAGTTATGAGTAGGATATAAATGAAGAAGTAGTTAAAGATGAGTGAGCTAGGTATCCCGGGAGCAGATCATAAAAGGAGTTTTTATGATTTGCTAGAGTTTGGGCTATATCAAAATTTACGGGATTTTCCCTAACCTCCAGGTTGTTTATTTTTACTTTTTATTTTGAAATAATTTCAAACTCATTTAAGAGTTGTAAAGATCTTTTTTTTTTTTTAAAGATTTTATTTATTTGAGAGAGAGAGAATGAGAGACAGAGAGCATGAGAGGGAAGAGGGTCAGAGGGAGAAGCAGACCCCCTGCTGAGCAGGGAGCCTGATGTGGGACTCGATCCTGGGACTCCAGGATCATGACCTGAGCTGAAGGCAGTCGCTTAACCAACTGAGCCACCCAGGTGCCCAAGATCTTTTTTTTTTTTTTTAAGATTTTATTTATTTATTTGACAGAGAGACACAGCAAGAGAGGGAACACAAGCAGGGGGAGTGGGAGACTGAGAAGCAGGCTTCCCGCTGAGCAAGGAGCCCAGTGCGGGGTTCGATCCCAGAACCCTGGGACCATGACTTGAGCCAAAGGCAGACGCTTAATGAATGAGCCATCCAGGTGCCCCTGCAAAAATCTTAAATAGAATTCTCATAGACCCTTTACATAGATTCATTAATTATTAACATTTTGCTTCCTTTGCTTATTCTGTCATGCTCTCCATCTCTGTAGATAGATACTTTTTAAGAAACTGAACCATTTGAAAGTTGCAGACATGAGCCTTCACCCATACATACTCCAGCTTGAATTTGATACTAAGGATGTTTCTAATACAGAAATGATGATACTGTTGTCACAGTATTACCATACTATCTAATATTGATTTAAAAATAATACGTAATACACAGTTTCAATCAGGGCTCTCATACTGCATTTAGTTGTCATTCTCCGTATTGTCTTTTCATCTAGAGTAGTTCTTCTTTTCCCTCTTCTGTGAACTTGACATTGCAGGCTAATTCACAATCATTTTTGTTCTTCTTCCCCGTTATTAGATTCAGATTGAACAGTGTTTGGCACAATTACTACCTAGGTGTTGTTGTCTTCTTCCTTTATCACCTCAGTAGGCATGTAATGTCAGTTTGTCTCATTGGTGATGTTGACTAATTACTTGGCTAGCATGGTGCCTGCCAGATTTCTCCATTTAACAGCATCTTTTGCACACTGTGTTAGTAAGTTATTTTAGACCCAGCAACCTTCTACCCAGTAGTTTTTTGTTTTGTTTTGTTTTTTTTAAAGATTTTATTTATTTGATACAGAATGAGAGATTGAGAGAGCACAAGCAGGGGGAGCGGCAGGCAGAGGGAGAGGGAGAAGCAGACTTCCCGCTGAGCAGGGAGCCCAATGTGGGGCTCGATCCCAGGACCCTGGGATCATAACCTGAGCTGAAGGCAGCTGCTTAACCAACTGAGCCACCCAGGTGCCCAATACCCAGTAGTTTTAGTATCCATTGGTGATGCTTGCCTGAATCAATTACTGACATTGTTGGTTACAAAATGAAAGTTTGAAGTTTTTTTAAATTTTTTTTTAAAGATTTTATTTATTTAACAGAGAGAGAGACAGCTAGGGAGGGAACACAAGCAGGGGGAGTGGGAGAGGTAGAAACAGGCTCCCTGCCGAGCAATGAACCCCATGCAGGGCTCGATCCCAGGACCCTGGGATCATGACCTGAGCCAAAGGCAGATGCTTAACGACTGAGCCACCCAGGCACCCCTGAAAGTTTGAAGATTTTAAGCAGTAGAGAATTATAATAAGAATTTCATTTTAGAGAATACAGGGTTGGCAATTTTGTGGAAAACAGATTCGAAGGAGCTGTGCTGGAAGCAAGGAGACAGGCAGTTTGCTTCCATTCAGATGTCACCTACTAATAGTACAAGATCTGCTGTAATGGGTAGAGTGCAGGTTGAGGGGTTTGAGTCTCCCTTTCCTGTTACTTCAAAAATAATTTCATAAAATTCACATATTTAACAATTTAGCCAGAATTTCTTGGTGCATATATGTTTATATAAATGAATCAAAACTTATTGGTACAACTAAAAGTTTCAAAACGTTTAAAAAATTGTATATGGTTAAAAAGTTGAGTTTTGAAATAATAATTCTTATTATATCCAGTTGTCTGGAAAATTTTTTAAAACTAAAATTTGGTCAACCCCATTTTGCATTTTAATTTTTAAAAATTTTTTTAGGGTACACCAACTAGTATGCTGGAAGTCCAACAAGAGAATGTAATCAGTTCTCAAGACTTAGCAGGTATGATAATGTGCTTCGATAAAGTACCACAGAACCAAATAGTACAGCTTTTACTTCTCTACCTCATTTGACTATGGAAAAACAAAATAGTTTTTTAGTCTGTGACAGTCTTAAATTATAAACAAAAAAACTTGAAGTATTTTATGGAACAGTTTGTTATTCAGAATTATAAATCCCCTCTATAGTGAACCGTCTTTATCCTTTTTGAAATTACTTTTTACTTTTATGGGTGTAATTTGCTTTTTATTCGTGGGGATAAGTTGTAGTGAGACTTCTTAGAAATGTAATAAATTAATGATTTTCATAGTTCAGCTTTTCATTATTAACTTTTAAACTTTGATAGTGAATCTAGTTGCTAATGTACATCAAGATGGTGAGGATGAACAAGCATTCATTTTAACTCTGGTGGAAATCCCAACCAATGCTGTAGAAGAATTTAGTGATACCACTGCACAGTTAATGCCAAACCCTTTACTGCCAGCACCCATATTGATCAAATCCGTGAATACAGAAGAAAGGAGTGACATGAGGTAATGAATGAGCTAACCTGTTTATTTAAATTCCATTTAGTTAAATACAGTGCAATATTAGTTTCTGGTGTACAGTATAGTGATTCAACACTTCCATATATCACCTGGGACCTAAACTATTTTTGCTAGGAGGAAAGGTGCTTTATGAATTGAATAGTATTGACTGAATAAGCCGTTCACCAGCATTATTTGTAATTGTCCCAAAGATCTTATTTAATAATTATGTGTTAAGTTAGAGAAGAAATTGTTGATTTTATACCTGATAAAGCTGCCATTTAAATGTATAATATAATACTTTTGTATGAAACTTGTTTGGTATCTTAAGTATTTTGAAAGCTAAAAAAATTTAGCAATTTGGATTATAAAATGTCATCTATCAAAGGTGTGTGGTTACTTTGTAAGCTTATATATTTTAAAGTCTGAAATAAATATTCACAGAAGTTGCAAGAAGGATAACATTTCTGTGTGTGTGTGTGTGTATTTTTTTTTTAAAGTAGGCTTCCACGCCCAGCGTGGAGCCCAACATAGGGCTTGAACTCACAACCCTGGGATCAAGCAAGACCTGAGATCAAGAGTCAGACACTTAACCAACTGAGCCACCCAGGCGCCCCATTTCTGTATATTTTAATACTGCTTTTTAAATTCCTTACTATAGAATTGTTGTATTTTAACAGTCATTGGTTAAGATGCTTAATTCTCTGTCAAGTAGCATTAGATGTTGAAGGCATTTATATTAGTAAGAGGCATTTTAGATTAAAATTTTAACTTTATAGACAAGGAAAACGGTATTTTTATACCTTGGATTTAATTCAGTATTACGGAATTTAAGTTGCAAGTTTTTAAGTATGAATGGATCTCAAAACTAACATTTTTGTGACCGTGGGCATGTATATATTAGTTACTTGGAAGTTTTTTTGGCAGTTTTCACTGGAATAGCTCAGCCTTTTACTTCATTAAGTAGCTTCTAATTTGCTAATTTCATATGTTTGCATTTTCTATTAGTTTTCCAGTAACTTCAGTTGGTCAGGATACCATGTGTTTATCTGATTCTGGAAAAGATGGTTCTGAAAAGCCTCCTCCTGCTAATTTGGATCTTATATCTAGGAAGAGATTTCACTGTACGCTTGATGAAAGTAACCATGTTCCTCCTGCCAAAAAAAGTTTGCTCACTTCAGGAGATGATTGTCAAAATTATACCTCTGAGGTAAGATAGAATCATCAAGCAAATAAGATGGTCCTATTACAACAGATACCTTTGTGTTTCTTCCTTTAGACTCTTTATGTGAAGATAGTTCTGATACTTTTCACCACAAATAATCCAGCTAAAACCAATTTTGGATTCTCGTTTTCAACTAGTTCTACGTGAAAATTGATGGACGTTAATTAGGAAACCCATTCCTAGTTTTTTGTTATTGGCTCAAAAAAGGCCAAAAGCATCTTGTAGATCTGGATCCTGGCTGTACCCTTTGACAGCTGTGGGACCTGAGTCAGGATATGTTGTCTCTGTGAGTGAGTTTCCTGTTGTGTAAAACAGTAATAGTAGTATCATCATCACTATTATCATAATACCTAAAGCTATGCATTGCTCTTAGGAAGAAAAACCAGAACCTTAAAGGCCCTCTATTTGGCCCATTTCTGTCTCTGATCTAACCTTGTGCCTCACTCTCTAACCATATTGGCCGTCTTTCAGTTTCTGGAATGCACCATATTTCTTCATGTCCCAGGGCATTTTTTTTAATTATCTTTTTGTGAAACATTTTCTTGCCAAACATACAAACGTCTTTATCTCAGTCATCACTACCTCAGGGAAGCCTGAAGATAGTATGCAGGTTTGATCAACAGCCACAATGTTAAAGGTTTCTTAGCACCCCCTTGTTTTTGTTTCCAATACTCATGATAATTTATCTCACTGTGTAGCTACACTGTGGAAGAGTTAATTAATTAGTTAATTTAGTTTTGGAAAAGTTGATTTAGAATCTATAGTCTCAAAGGGACAGTTGAAAACCAGTAGTCCTTCGGTGAGAGCAGACAACAGAGGCAGTGGATCCTTGTATACCTGATAGGTAGAAGATGGTATCACAGGATGGTTTTAATTTTTCTTAGTATGAGTAAGGCTGAACATCTTTTATATGCTTAGGAGTCTTTTGTATTCCTTTCTCTGTGAAATGACTTTGTATTCTTCAGCCATTTTTCAGTTGTGTTGCTGATCTTTTACATAGAGATTTGGAGGAATTCTGTGTTATGTATGTCCACGAATGAGTTGCATATATTTTTCCCTACTTTGTCTTTTGACTCTACTTTTTGTGTTTTTTTTCTTGCAGACTTTTTGTGGTTGATTTTGGGGGGGGGGGTGCGGTTAAGATTTTATTTTTAAGTAATCTTTACACCCATTGCAGGGCTTAAATTTACAGCCCCAAGGTCAAGAGTCACATGCTCTATCCACTGAGCCAACCAGGTGCCCTGATTTTTTAATATGAAAATTTTCAAGCATTTAAAAAGATACACATGGAAGTATAATGCATCCCTCTGTATCAGTCACCCAATTTCATCAATTTATCAGCATTCCTTGCAAACATTGTTCTGTTGTGTTTGTTTATTTATTTATTTAAAGATTTTACTTATTTATTTGACAGAGATAGCGCACAAGCGGGTAGTGGCAGGCGAGGGAGAGGGAGAAACAGGCTCCCCACTGAGCAGGGAGCCCCATGTGGGGCTCGATCCCAGGACCCCGGGATCAGGACCTGAGCCAAAGGCAGACGCTTTAACGACTGAGCCACCCAGGTGCCCCAAACATTGTTCTGTTTTAAAAGTATATTCAGTGACATAGGGAAAGGATGATAGTACATTACTATATGCAAAACTAGGCTACCAGTTTATAATAAGCCATTTAAAAATGATAGATATAGGGGCACCTGGGTGGCTCAGATGGCTCAGCGGGAAGCCTACTTCTCCCTCTCCCACTCCCCCTGCTTGTGTTCCCTCTCTTGCTGTGTATCTCTCTGTCAAATAAATAAATAAAAAATCTTTAAAAAAAAATGATAGATGTACATTGATGTGACTATATAAGAACAGTATAATGTCTTTGAGCTTATTTGTGATTTTTATTTTTTAAACTTGGTTTTCAGCATTCTAACAATAAAAAAATGCTTATAAAATCTTGAAGTTATAATTGTAAATTCTAGAATGCACACATACTGCATTCACATAGACATGCAAACATTTTTTATTTTTATGTAATCCCATTTATCATTCTTTTTATGTATGGCTTCTGGGGACTGTGTTATACATTGAAAGTCTACCTTGAGATTTAGTGTAAATTTTTAAGAGTTAACATTAATGATTTGTTTAGAATTTATTTTGGTGTTAGGAAGAGTGGAACCAACTTAATGTTCTCCAGGTGCCTACCTAGTTGTCTCAGCACCATTTGTTGAATAATTCATTTTTTCTCCACTGATTTAAAATTCCACTTACTGGATATTAAATCCCATATGTATTTGGGTATATTCCTGATTTTTCTTCTACTTTGAGATTCACCTATTTGTGCTGGGGCCAGTGTCCCAGTGTTTTAAATTACTGTAGTTTTTAAATACTTTGCTATCTTAAATGGAAAGTTTCTCTCTCCCCTGCACATAATTTTCTTATTTTTTTTTTCAAGTTTTTCCTAGTTGGGTATATGTCCTAAAGTTTATGTTAATTTTAGAATTTGCTTGTTCAGAGCTTAAAAAAAACCACTATTGATACTGATACTTAAATTAGGATCATATTAACTTGACCAGTTAACAGGGAAAGTTGATGTCAGCATTGTCATGTTGGATTTTTTTTAATCCAAAAACGTATGTCTTTCCATTTGATTAATTATTCTTTTATGTCTCAGTGGTATTTTTAGTTCTTCTTCATTTAAATTCTGGTCCATTTCTTACTAGGTCATCTCCTAAGAATTTTATCTTGTTTGTTGCCGTTATCATTGAATTCTTTTCTATGTAGAGAGCTTACTCAATTCCCCTTATCATATATAGTAATTTTTCACTTGATTCTGTTGGGTTTTCTAAGTAAACAGTCATATCATCTGTAGATACAATTTTAATTCTTCTCATATACTTGGTATACCTTTAATTTCTTTCTCTTTTCTATATAAGCTAATAAAACTCAAAAAATATCAGAAAATAGTCCTGATAGTAGACATCTTTTTCTTATCCCTGATTTAAATGCAAATATTTCCAGTGTTTATGAAGTGGGATGCTGGTTTTGAATTGCAGTAATTATAGTTTATGGTGTTAAGAAAATGTCTTTTTTTTTTTAAGCATGAATATTATTGGACACTTTCCCCATAAACAGAGAGATGGGGGTATGATTTTTCTCCCCAGTTCAGTTGAATTATATTAGTTCACATATTGAATTATCTTTGCATTCCTGAGACAACTCTGTTTGATTATGATGTTAGTCTTTTGATGTGTTGCTGAATTATGCTTGTACTATTATATTTGATATTTTTGTACTGGTTGTAATTGGAATTGCAATTAATATACATATATATTAAAGATTTTATTTATTTATTTGACAGAGAGAGACACAGCGAGAGAGGGAACACAAGCAGGGGAGTGGGAGAGGGAGAAGCAGGCTTCCCGCTGAGCAGGGAGCCCAATGCGGGGCTCAATCCCAGGACCCCGGGATCATGACCTGAGCCAAAGGCAGACGCTTAATGACTGAGCCATCCATGCACCCTGGAAGTGGAATTGATATTAATACTGGTTTATAAAAAGCATTTGAAAATTTTTCCTCTTTTACCGTGCTCTGGAACATTTTAAGTAGCAGTAGCAATGTGTTTTTCATAAATGTTGGTAGAATTTCCATAAGACATCTTTTATGCTAGGGGTTTCTGGGAGGTACATGCTTTCTTTATTAAAAAAAAAGAAAGAAAGAAAGATTTACTTGATAAATGGATTTTTAATTTTTTTGTTAATTTTCTTAACACAGGTGTGTTCAAAGGAAATGATAAATGTTTCTGAGGAAACAGGTGAGTGAAATAAATTTTAACGTGATTACATTTATCTGTTTTTGATGCATCTATTCAAATTTGGAATTAGAGAAGAGTATTGCTCACTTTCTCTAAGAATCTTGCTTTTATTATTGGAAGTTTTTCTTTCCAGCTGAGATCTTGGATTTGGCATTCCTATAGCCATACGAAGCTACTTTAATCCTGTAATTAATAGAAAACCATGTGGCTACAGGATTTCCTGTAAAAGCTTAACAGTTATATTTTAGGAATTAGCTGAGCTTATGATAAAAGAGTTTTTATATAGTTCCTTAAGTTTACCCAGAGATTAGAAAGTGATAACTCCCATTTTGCTAGTTGAAAATATATTTATCGAGAAAGATTTTCTAGGTCAAAATATGTTGATAGGACTATTTTGTATCTGAATGAAAAAAGTATTCTAAGATTTTTTTTTTTTTTAATTTTATTTATTTATTTGACAGAGAGAGACACAGTGAGAGAGGGAACACTGGCAGGGGGAGTGGGAGAGGGAGAAGCAGGCTCCCCGTGGAGCAGAAAAAAGTATTCTAATCATACTTTTTTTTACCAGCTACAATGTTCTTAATAGTCCAGATGACTTACATATTAATAATTTATAATTTAGCTTACTCTTATTAGAGTAGGTTTATGATAGAATGTCATGATTTCTTTCCTTCAAATATTGCAGTTCAGTCAGATATATAAATTTCAATATGTGTTCTCTGTGCTTATGATTTCTCTTTGTTTTTTGAAGGGGAGTCTTACAAGGAACAAGGTATCTTCCCTACCTCAGGAAGCACACGTACAACTCCAGAACCTCAGAAAGAGCAACTTGAACCAACTTTTCAGAGTATAGGATCTGGATCTCCTGATAAAGTAACAGATACACATATAGAAAAAAGTACATCTCAGTTACCTCAGGATGAGAGGAGTGTGTCTGATAAGGAGGAGAGAACTTGTGCTGCTTCGAAGTCTGAACAAATGGATAGCATCCCATCATCTTCAAAAACCCCATTATCCAGGTACCATGAGATGATCTTCAACAAATGTTTCTCTCCATTTCTCTTTCTCAAAGGGTAAATGTAACCTGTATGCAACGGATATAACATATATGTAAAGACTAAATTCACTACTAAGGATGATGTTTTATAAACATATCCCTTTGTCAGTAATGTAAAGGGAAGGAGTTTTATCAAAGGAAATTCAGTAGTGAACATTTTTTTAGGACTCTTCAGATAAATACACATTCCGTATAACAAGAGCTTAACTTTAAGTGCTGAAACTAACTTTTTAGGTAGAAAATCTGCATTGGCATCTGCTGGTATGATGGTATAACAACTGCTGGTATATAATGATCAAAATAATAATGATACTTAGTAGATATGCTGATACCACTAATGTGGTATCACCTGTGCCATTTTAGCATTCACGGAAAGAAGCTGGTATTAGGAGTGTATCTTCCTGGATATTCTTGAATATCTTTACATTTGCATTTCTAGACCTGGCAGAAGACCCCTGGGATTTTTGTCTTTAATATGTTCAAAGAATAGTTTGGAGTCTGATGAACCTACTCAGGTTTATAATAAGAAACGTCTAAAACCTCTTATACCTATACCAAGAAAGAATTTGAAAAGATCAAATCCACTCACTGAAAGCCAGAAAAAAATCCAAGAGTCCTCTGATCAGCTTCCATCTCCAAGGGTTGTTGATACTCCTTCTGAGAGTATTGGCAGTTCAGCAACTCAGGTACGTGATAACTGTTATATTTTATTGTTTGTATAGAATGGGTTAGAAATCAGACTCAACTAGAAAAAACAAAGCAATTGGTATTTTCATTTGGATGTTAGAAATTATTTCAGAGGGGGCGCCTGGGTGGCTCAGATGGTTAAGCATCTGCCTTCGGCTCAGGTCATGATCCCAGGGTTCTGGGATCAAGTCCCGCATCGGGCTCCCTGCTCAGCAGGGAGCCTGCTTCTCCCTCTGACTCTCTTTCTCTCTCTCTCTTGTGTGTGTGCTCACTCTCTATCTCAAATAAATAAAGAAAATCTTAAAAAAAAAAAAAGAAAGAAATTATTTCAGAGCATCTCTTGTCTATCTTCTCCCCATCATACCTCACTATGAGAGAAGAAGATAAGGTGTTGAATTAGGAAGTTACAACTCCTTTAGTACAGAGCCATTTAAGCCAGCCATACATGGACACTTAATTGCCATTCCTTTAGTGCAAAGAACTTTCTGACCTATGGAAGCAAAACAAAGCCGGGCTGATGTTTTATTTGCTTTTGGGGAAATGTCCTGACACCCATAAGAATTCAAGGAATGGTAAAATTAGAATTTGTTTGCATGTTTCATTTCTCTGCATGCTGTAGATGTTCATATGGCAAGTCCTGAGATGGAAAAATACATGAACTTGTATCAAAAACTTTGGAAGAGCATTGGGGTTGGTTACTTAGGATTTCAACACAGAAAAGGCTGGTGACCTATTGGATAGTGTGAGTCTCAAAAGGAGTACTTTTGTAAAGACTGTCTTTAAAATTTTTTTAAATACTTTATATTTCCTAGAATTATTTTCTGAAACCAGTATTTTATGACTCTTTACTATTGCCAAATTATTGTGGAGAACAGTTGTTACAATTACCAGCAATGTAACTATGCCAGTTAAGTCACATTCTTGCCGGCTTTAGATATTAACTCTTCAAAATAATTTTTTTCTTTAATAATAGAGGGTAGAAATGTAATTTCATCTGTTTAATTTGCATTTCTTTCATTATTAGTGGCTTGGTTTTTTTCCCATACATTTACTAGATTTTTTTTCTCTTTTTTTTTTCTTTTTTGTTTCTATAGTTTGCTGATTTATAGCTTTTGGGATCTAGGTGGTTTTCTTACCAACTTATGTGAGATCCTTATGTAAGAAAGCCACATACCTTTTAGCTCTTACTGCAAGTAATTTTTTCAAATTCATTTACTTTTTTAAATTTTGTAGGGTTTTTAATATACACATAAGCTTTAAATGTTTAGTCAAATCAATTTTTTCTTTACAATTTCTTAAATTTTATGAATAGGAGGTTTTTCTCCATAGGTATAAAACGTTTAGTAAGCAGTTTTAAAACTAACTTTGTTTAGGGGTGCCTGGGTGGCTCAGTTGGTTAAGTCTGCTTCTCCTCCCCGCCCTCCTGCTTGTGCTCATTCTCACTCATTCTCTCTCTCTAATAAATAAATAAAATCTTAAAAAAAAATAAAGATTTTATTTATTTGAGAGAGAGAAACAGTGTGAATGTGGCACGGGGAGGGGAGAGGGAGAGAGAGAATCCTAAGCAGACTCTTCTAAGCACAGAGCCTGACTCCGGCTGGATCTCACCACCCTGAGACCATGACTTGAGCCGAAATGAAGGGTCTGACACTCCACCATCTGAGACACCCAGGTGCCCCTCTCTCTTTTTTTTTTTTTTATTAAATTTAAATTAAACTTTTTATTATGGGATAATTGTTGATTCACATGCAGTTGTAAAAAACAATGCAGAGAGATCCTATGTACCCTACATCCAGTTTTCCCCACTGTTAACATCTTAACAAAACTGTGGTACAAAATCACAACCAGAATATTGACATTGCCACAGTCAAGATACAGAAGAATTCTATCACCACAGTGATCCTGTGTGTGGTCTTTTATAGACACACTCACTTACATTAACACCCCCACACTCTTCTTCACTTCTGGCAACCTGTTCTACACCATTAAATTTGTCATTCTGAGAATGTTATGTCAGTGGAATATTGTATACAGTTGTGTAAATGGAATCATACATTTAGAATTCACTTTTTTTCCACTCAGCATAGTTCCCTAGAAAGTCATCCAGATGGTTTTATGTATTTATTCCTTTTTATTATTGAATAGTATTCAATAGTATGTTACTAGTCATGTTTATCCTTTCACCAATTGAAGGGCATATGGCTTATTTTCAGTTTTTGGCTGTTATGAATAAAGCTGTTGTGAACATTCATATCTAAGTTCTTGTGTGAACATAAATTCATTTTTTAAATTTTTTTTTGTTATGTTAATCACCATACATTACATCTTTAGTTTTTGATGTAGTGTTCATAAATTCATTTTTCAGGAATAAGTGCCCAAGAGTGCCCTCATTATTTTTAATGACTGTATCATATCCCACTGTTTTGATGTACAATAGAACAATAATGGTCTCACACTGGTAGGCATTTAGGTTATTCCTAATGATTTGCTGTTTCAAATAATATGGTAATAGCTAACTTACAAATGAGTGCTTTTGCACATTTATCTATAGGTTGAATTCCTAGAAATAGAATTGTTGGATCAAAAGGAATGATCATTCTTTTGAGAGATATTGCTTGATTGTCTTCCATAGGGAATATATCAGTTTCTATTCTTAGCAGCAGTATAGGAGAGGACCTTTTTCCTCACACTAGCATGTAATCAATTTTTTTCACTTTTGGAATTCTTCATAGATTTAATGAGCATATGAGTGAGGTTGAGTACTTCTTCATGTCTTTGAATCATTTATGCTTTCTCTGTGAAACATCTGTTCATATGTTTCTTTTTTTAAGATTTTATTTATTTATTTGAGAGAGAGAGTGAGCAAGCACAAGCAGGGGGAGCAGCAGAGGGAGAGGGAGAAACAGGCTGCTCGAGGAGCAGGGAGCCTGATGCGGGGCTTGATCCCAGGACCCTGGGATCATGACCTGAGCTGAAGACAGATATTTAACCAACTAAGCCATCCAGGCACCCCATGTTTGATTTTTTTAAAAAATTGCATCATTAGTATTTTTCATATTAATTTGTAGAGGCTCTTACATTAAAGAAAACCCTGGGGCGCCTGGGTGGCTCAGTCATTAAGCGTCTGCCTTCGGCTCAGGTCATGATCTCAGGGTCCTGGGATTGAGCCCCGCGTCGGGCTCCCTGCTCGCGGGAAGCCTGCTTCTCCCTCTCCCACTCCCCCTGCTTGTGTTCCCTCTCTCGCTGTGTCTCTCTCTGTCAAATAAATAAATAAAATCTTTAAAAAAAAAAAAAAAGAAAAGAAAACCCTCTGGGGTGCCTGGGTGGCTCAGTTGTTAAGCATCTGCCTTCGGATCAGGTCATGATCCCGGGATCCTGGGATCGAGCCCCGTGTTGGGCTCCCAGCTCCGTGGGAAGCCTGCTTCTCCCTCTCCCACTCCCCCTGCTTGTTTTCCTGCTCTCGCCATCTATCTCTCTGGCAAATAAATAAATAAAAATCTTAAAAAAAAAAGAAAGAAAACCCTTTGTGATAAAGGTGTTTTATATATATATATATATATATATTTTAACCTATATGTCATTTGTCTTTTGATTTTGTGTATAGTAGTTTTTGCCATGCGGACATTTTAAAAATTTTTACATAGGTGAATTCATCAGTCTTTTATGA